TGACTACGCTGGTGGTTCCCAGACATAGCGAAGATGTTATCTCATACCGTCTTCCGTCGATTCGACCGAACTCAAGAGATGACCTCCTCGATGACAGTCTGGCAGTGTTGCCATCCATCCAGCATGCAACGACGTGCGATGTACGTAAAGTTACGAACAGTCAGCCTCCAAGGCTATACAGTTTGGACAGCATTTGTATCACAAACATGTGTGTGATTTATTACAGAGCAAAGAATCAGCCCGAGTCTGAGTAACCCTACGGTGACTTTTGAAAGGTCACATCGATAACTTGGTGCACATGTCGTGAATTCAATCAACCTGTCGTATCGTAATAAGGTCACTCTGTCCATTCGAGTGAGGTTCAGGCTAGTTCCACTGGCACAGCTTCAGGGTACGATTCTGAAGCCCATGGCCTATAGACTAAGATTTCGACTCGAAGTTCGAGAACTGTTCATAAGGAGCACATCAGACGTGCTCGTAGATCCAAAAGAAGATTGTAAATCACTCAGGCCATGATTGGCGAATGACCGATAAGAAGAAATGCTTTCCGCAAGGGCAATTCAACACCAATAAATCGCGTCAGAACATTCAGAACATTCACACCATGCTTGAGACGTTAAAGGGGTTCATTTTGCGGCCCTGAAGATACAATGGATGACTAATCAAGCTAGCCGAAGGTCGGGTACTGGCCGCCGCTTCTTCTCTGATTCCGTCCTTGGTGGTGGAGGAGTTACAGAGACGAATTGCCTGTAGAATGTGATGCTATCATAGAAGCTTTCGACTAAAACGAACAACCCTCATCTTAATGCTCACCTATTGGTACTTGATGACGTCGTCCTGTCAAAGCTCCCAATACTTCTGAAGAGAAAGGCATCTCGGTGTGAGTCGGTTGTAGTAATAGTGAAGACAATCGGATAATCCTCACAGTTGCTGAGCCTCTTCGACTGCTTGGTCTCGGCTTCCTGTCAGTGACTCCACTTCCTGCAACAATTCTCGTATGCGAGTGTTGGCACACTCTAGTTGGTGCTTGAGACGCTTGTTCTCAAGCCTAAGGGCATTTCCCTGCAGACGAAGGTGAACAACTTCACAGCAGTCAATAGCCTGACCTCATCTACTGGACGTGCTTCATTATCATTGTCAGAGGACCCCTCTGACGCCTGAAAACAGCCATTCAGAGGGGGATTCGACCACCGAGAGAGATAGCAATATTTCGCGGTGTCCCCCCAGCTGGAGTGCTTGCCTGCATTAAGGTCACCTCAGTGTAAAGCAAGGCTACTTGTTCGCTCAACGTGCGTACTTGTCGACACCTGCACGGTGGCCCATCGGGGAAGTCCGGAAGGATGCCGAAACACATTACACCTCCTGGAGGCCCTTCCCTCGTTGCCGTGACCTATACTGTTTGGATTCTCCCATTAAAGCATTGTACTGACTCTTGGTCTCAACCAGCTGAGCACGGAGGCTCGCAACTACCTGAATATAGCCCACGACGATGGCGCAAACAGATAACAGAATACGCCTGAGTCAACTGAGTAAGGCAACGCGCGCAGTCGACCACCTTCTGAAGATGCTGGTTTCTAGCTTCCAGCTCTGCAGTCTTCGAGACAGAGTTTGTTGACCGGGGAGATGGACGACTGGACGTCTGAGTCGCCATGCGAGCGGGCGATAATACAAGGCGATCTCACCGAGACTTCGGCAGTGCTGGTATCTTTAGACGGGCTCGGCTTGCATGATGCGGAACATGCCCGTCTAGGCCTCCGCGAGGTGTAAATCATTTCACAGAATCTGTTCTAAGTTGGCGGGAGGGTTAAATGATGTCTACCTGAGAGCTTCCCCCGGTCTATGTTGAGATCCGACAACGACCCTTGGTGATTCGCGGCTCCGTCGTGTAGCAGGGATGCCTCGGTTGGGATGATTTCTTCCAGATGTGATATTGAAGTGCATCTTGAACCCCCTTGTTGTCGTTGGAACTATACTGTTCCCGGCTACTCCTCTCTTCTCTTGCTGTTGACCAAGTGCCTCACCAGAGGCCTCGTTCTCGCCCGGAGTGGTAACGGATAAAGCAGATATTGATGAAGACTTCCCAACTTGTGCTGTTTCTAACGCCAGGACTTTTCTCTTCAGCTGGAGTACTTCGCGCTCTCGTATATCTAATAAGTGTTGCTTCCCGAGGGTGGATGAGTGTCCATTACAGAGCTGCTCCCTGAGGAGGTCGAATGCCTCCTCAAGAGCATTAGTAGACTTGGGGACCTCCTCGCTGAATGATTTGGGAATCGATACAGCCTCGAGGGTATCCACCTCGTGATTCGTCGAACTCCTCGGATCTCTCATGACCGAAGTCACCGACTGGCTTGACACCATTCTGATTTCTATTGCCCGGGGGGTTCACTCTCCTACAGTTACCGACAAGAACTCAACATAGCAGCGTTAGCTTGGTAGATAATGGACAGTTGTAGTTCACGTCAATTTCGCTCTCTTCTTATTCTGAGATTCCTTCTTCTCTTTAATAGCGTCAGCATAGGCTGGGTTGATGGGAGGTTGCACTGGTGCCAGGGGCTCACTCGAATCTGACAATGCCATCACGCCATAGAGAGCTCCTCCTGCCCTACCTGTAGGAGCGCTATAGTTCATATCTGCGTCGTAGCCACTGAGGTCACCACATGCCACGAACGGGACCAGTCGCTTCTCGTCCTGTGTTGGTCCTGACCATGACCGCTTACACATACCACTACTGCCGCAATTCAGGATCCCACCACAGGCCTCAATCACTGTTTTGAATTCGTGTGCACTATAGAGGCGTGGGGTATAGCCCTTGGGTAGCCGGAAATTCTTGCCTATCAGAAATGGCATCTCTTCCGGGTGAGGAGAGAAGATTGAGGGAACTCACAGACTATGAAGGATTCGACACTGCTGTTGCGGCTGCTCCGAGGCTTCGCTACCCAAACACACTCAAAGAAGACATACCTAAAGGATTAGGAATACACCAGCCCAGGATGAGAAACGATTCCTCTCCTCCTCACATCTTGGCGTAAAGTAGATCTACGTTCTCCCCACGGAATACTTTCGCTACGAAGCTTCCGCCCGGCTTCAGGAGTAGTGTAGTGATGTTCAAGGCGGCCAATAGCAGTTGGAACTGGACGTACCTACATGACGCCGCTCTAGTCGGTGACTACCCCGAGGTCCTACTCATCCATGTCGTGCATGCCTGTGACATCGGGGGCTCCATCACATACTACCAAATCTGACAGCTGGCCACCGAAACAATCCAGGACCTGAGCACAAGGTGCCCGAGGGGTCCTCCCCATCAGTCCAGGAAGGACTACCTCTTTGACGGTCTTCTCCGAGGTGATGTCCCCCTGTATGCAAGTAACATCAGGAATAGGAGCCATCTCTTGCAGATCGACTGACACTATCAGCGGCTTTTTCTTATCATCAGACCCTGTCAGGTTCTCGCAGAGCTTCTTGCTGAGGACCTTAGGAAGACCTCCAATACCCCCCTACCTCCCGGCCACTCACCTGACTCCAACTGCCAGGAGCAGCACATAAATCTACAACTCGCTCAAGGTCGTCAGTTAAGATCTGAAACACGCCCCTTAACAGCAACCTCTACGATGATATTAAACCACTACATGAAATTGTTCATCGACCTGCAGGAGCTTATATGCACTCCTCGCGCGATAGCCCTCCTCCTTGGCAAGTCTATAGTAGATATCCCGTTTGTCCTTGGACAGCCGTCCCATAACGATACCCAACGTAAAGCTACAGCTAACGAACAGACCTCCATTTCCCACTAGGAAACACGACACTGACTGACTCGAACGATACCATCAAAACTAGCACATGTTAGGTTCCGAAATAAAAATCATTCACAGCTTAGACTGCATCTTTTTCTTCCCCCCAAATTTAGCTTTGAAGGCCGCCATTGCAGCCATGAACCCTTCCGACTTCAGTGCGACATCAAAGGCTTCGTTCTGACAGAGAGGAATAATATTCCTGGGTTGAAAATTCACTTTCAACGTTTGAACGCCCGAAACATGTGGTGAACGCACATATTCCGAATGAGCTCCAGATACAATTACTTCCGGAACTGTTATCAGTCCGAGAACTACGTATAACAATAACCCCATCTAGGACATGTCATAAACTGGGTACCATCACCACGGCCAACGTGAAGAAAGCTCACCTCCTTATCGAGGGATCTGTGAGCTTTCATAATAGCGAGTAGATTGCCGTTCACCAGAGCCTTGGTGTAAGCATAAGAGTCCATATACCTGCAAACTATTTAACAGAAAATAAACCCGCGCCCTTGAATGACTTCCTATGAGCCAACTTAGTAGCAGCGAAAGCAATGGCAGTCGGTAGCAGGTCCTCATCTTTCTCCACGACTTCATGTGCCAATCCTGAGGACATTCCCAAGTGATGAGAGTCCGTAAGCATACATAGGGTGCTACCGTACCCAACTGAAGTGCCTTGTCTGCACCAAAGAACTCCCCTAGCATGAGGAGCTCCTTAGCTCGCTGTAGACCCACAGTGTAGGGCAATAGGAAGGACGAGCCTACTTCTGCTGGGATGCCCAGCTCAGCAAAGGGGTAACTGCATCGATTCCTCAAGGTGTGGTAGCGCCACTATAAACTACCGGAACTTAGCGCTCTTCGCCACGAATACGAAGTCGTGCAGCAACAGCGAGAAGTTGGCTCCTCCACCAATGCACGGCCCATGGACTGCAGAGATAGATAGTTTCTTAAAGGCTAACATGCGCTGTGTTATCCCCTGATAGAACGATGTAGTAGTGGAGGAGGAGTGGTATCAATAGACAACAGGCACCTGCAAGGCCACGTCCATCTCTCGGGCCATACCCTTGCCGACCCGAGTGTAGCCAGCGATGATCTCGGGATCGACATCGATAGCGGAGAGAGACGTGAAGTCAGCGCCACCAGAGAAGCAACGACCTGATGGTCATCATATTGAAGAAGGGAGTACCAAGGGCCATACCGCGACCCGCCCAGATGAGGACCTTCACTCTGTGGTCTCGCTCAGCGTGTTCAATACAGAAGAGGACTTCCCAGAGCATATTGAATGTGAATGGGTTCAACTTCTTAGGGTTAGACAGGAAACTGCAACAGGGTGATACCGAGAGCGAGTAGCTGATAAGCACCCAACACTACCATACGCAGACACCTGAGGCCTCGTCCAGACACCATTCGGTGTACTTCAAGGTGAAACTGAGAGCATAGTAGGATGCCAATCACAGACACCAAAGTCATCGACCCCCGATCAACCTTCCCCAGACCTACGATTCCCCTTGTGGTATCTCCTTGTCTCCTCTATAATAAACCTTGATCACTCTCGAGCTCGGTGGCACTGTATGAGCTGGAGGGACGGACATAACGGTCAAGGGTAGTCCTAGATAGAGGGCTGAAATGTGGTGATGGAAGTGGTTCAATGAGTAGTGGTTCAAGCAGCTGTGGATATTGCTGTAGCGCTACTTCACTCAACATGGGTATCCAAGGAGAGAGAAACGTTACTTGGTAGTAATACGTAAGGAGGGCTCAGTAGCACTTAAGTGGACTTGGCCTTCTTCGGTGAGGGACTATCTGAAATGTGAGTAATACAATCATCAACCACCCATGAGCGTCCGGCCAATGTGAGTTTGATTTCTTTGAAACCCGAAGCCCATATGACATCCTCCTTCGTCAGTAGCAGTTGTCTCGGCAAACTTCTCTTTCCTTTTGAGGAAAGTCTTGTGATGAGGAGTGTACAGCTTATCGAAGTTCTGGCTCTCGAGATGAATACGGCCACGACCTGAGCATAACACTCCCATAGACACCTCCCCCCAGTGTCCTCATTACGTTGACCCATGATATCAGTGGTGATGTTCTTAGACTTGTTAGGACGCTCCTTATCCTTGTTATACTCAGTAGTAGACGTCTGTGTCGGGAGTCTAGTAGCATACCTAGCCACATCAGAGGTTCCTAAAGCCGTCAAGTCACGGCCCTACTTCCACTTCTCATGATCAGCAGCTTTATCCCTGTCCGTTTTAAGGTCGAATCTCGGCCCGAGCTCGGCGAGCTCCACGTGTGGCAGCTTAGTGCCAGTACGCTTGAATATCATACGGTAGTGCCTAGTGACGTAAAGAGGTGCTAATCGGTGACACTCAGGGCATAGAGTAACAAGCCCACCTGAAGCATATGAGATGAGAGCCGGCCTCGTCAGGGTCCTCAACTGCAGAAAAGACCACGACGTGATCAAGACCATCCAGGGCCACTGCCTTAGCCTATGAGAATAACACTTCCCCGAGGTTCTGTAAGTCTGGCAACAATTGTCCACCTGTGATCCTCTGAATACGTCCAACAACAGAGACCTGGCGTGCTGCAGGTCAGGTACACTACCGAAACCATCGCCCTGGAAGATAACTAGAGGCTTGCTGCCCAGCCGAGGAGCCTCTGCTCTGAACTGGCTAGCCGGAACCTATCAAATGGGTGAAGTGTACGAAGTGTGGGTGATGGGGTTACGTAGTTGGACACGTGCATCTCCTCCATGTCGAGCAGTTGGTGGTCAAAAGTTCGGCCGACAGCCAAACGGAAGGGCCGTTTCTTAGTCCTATGAGAAAGTACTGCAAGCATCACTCCAGTGACCAGGTCCTACTTCGATCCGAATATGAATAGACTGGCATCATTCTTCTTCGCGAGAAATTCTAAGGTGCCTGTAGAGTGCAATTATTGGCAGAAATTGGGCCTCATTTGAATCTTTAAAGGTGCAACCTAAGATACTACCAGGATCCTCAAACGGCTGGATACTCTCATTCCTCCTCAAATTGACTGCATTAGGTTTAAGCATATCGTATCTGTCACCACTACTCGCCCTACCATAATTACAACAACTCACAGATCCTTCAATAGAGCATTGACGTCCTGTCCAGCCTGAGGCCCTCGGAGTAGCATAACCGTCTTATCGTTCTCCTACATATGCCAATGGTAATGAGACAGGGGTAGAGGCGGTCCCTACGTACTTGAAGTTTGGATGCCCTCTCGGCTAATACCCTCCGTCCCTTGCCGGTCTTGGCCTTCTTAAAGAGGTCATCAGGAATAGAGTTGGTGGTTGCAGTAGACATAACTTCCACAACTACTATACAACTACGGTACAGAATAACACTAGTATCACTCCGCTAAGTATTGTTGCGTGCCGCCAAAGAGTCCGTCCCTAGCAGACAAACAACACGACTCCTCTCTCTGGGGCGTGCGCTCAGTTTTTTGTACTTGGCGCTCGCCCTGATTCGCGCAAGGAAAGTTGGTCGGTCGCAGGGTCGTTGGGCCTCTATTACTCCCTAACGGGAACTTCGGGTCCACTCTGGTGGTTCACACCGTCTTGTACATCCTCAGGAGGCAGGATATGTGACCTAGAGGGGGCCTTCACCTCCCCCATGCCCACTACAATTGCTATGGTACTTCGGCGTATCTTGTGCTCTTCATGGGAGCATTTACTTTGCTGTTCAATCCACCATCATACTATCGAGTCTATTGGCATAGTCAATGCCCTCCTTGGTTGGGCCTCGAGTTCAGCCTGAACCTGCTGACCTGGTCTCTGCTAATGAGGCTGATTGCAGCCTATCTCCTAGTTCCGGAACTTCCCCTTGGGAATCGGTATCAATGTGTTTGCTGCTGCTACGACCAACTTGGGTACGGTATTAAGGAACTTGCACAATAGAGAAGTATGGAGGGAGTAAATACAATGAGACCCATAATATAGGGGAACGATGTCTGTGGAGTCCTAAGGTATCGAATAAAGTTGTGCGGTTACTCTCTCACAGAGTCTAACGTCAAGAACCACTCGTAATTGCACATCTCTTAGGAGTAAGGCAGGGCGCGAGGGGAACCCAGTCAGGTTTGTCGATGCAGGAAGGACGAATGTTGAGCCTAGATAGTAGTGTAACATGGCATAGTATTGTTAGCATGTACATTCATGGAATTCGTAGAAGAGATGTAGGCTCCGCGTGTCGAATTCCATTGCTTTATGAACGCTGTTGTTGTCGCGTTGTGTAATCCTACAGGTTGTTATTTTGACGCTTTCCATTGCAGATTGTTATTAGTGCACTAGCGCATTTACTTTGATTCCCCGTTCATCATACCTAACTACGCAGAAGTTGAGGGCCCTGAGGTCCTCGGAGGTCCTCTAGTGAGGAAGGAGAGTAAAGTGAGGGATAGACCTCAGCGTCCACCAACACCACCACCACCACCTCCGTCGGCGGCATATGATCCATGGCGGTCTATGTTTCGGAATCCTAGGATGGGGGATGACCTCGACAGATCTGAAAGACATGGTGTGTCCAAGGCAGTGTTTTCGGAGGAGTCCCCGAAGGATCTGGTGATAGAGCAAATATTCGATCCACTGAGAGAGCTATTGAGGCGGAGCGATGTAGTAGGCATACAGGCCTCTACTGGGTCGGGCAAGACCACTCAAGTACCCCAAATGCTGTTGGACTATGGGAGAGAGATGGGAGTTCCTCATAGGATTCTCGTCACACAGCCTCGGCGGATGGCGACTCTATCAGTGGCGATGAAGGTCCGTAATGAGAGAGGTCGGTCGAGGGGAGATGAGCAGTCTGTTGGGTATCTCGTTCATAACATATCTTCCTTGCCTGGACATCTGACGACGGTAGACTACGGCTCGATACTGTACTGTACTGAGGGGTCTTTGTTGGCCTCTATGGGCCAGAGGGATGGGGCTGATCTTCATGGAGTGACACATCTTATCTTGGATGAGGTGCATGAGAGAAGTACTGAAATGGATGTACTACTCGGTGTGGTGAAGGCCCATCTGGTTGGTAGAGGTGGGCTGAAGATAATTCTCATGTCGGCGTCGGCTTCGGTCGTTGATATGCTTGAGTACTTGAAGCCTGGCAGCGTTGATAGAGGAAACCTGCTCACTGTCAATGAGAAACGTTTTGACGTAAAAGAGTATTACTTGGAAAATACGGTGAAGCTGCTGGGATTTGAACCCCCGGTCTACACCAAGATGAACCAGGCCGCTGACGTGGGGGACCGTGTGAGCCACTGGGCTACTCTGGCGCTCGACGAGGCTGAGATCTTTCAGAAGGCTTCAGAAGCTGGACTTACCAATTACGACAACGACGAGTTGGTCCAGCAGGCGTTGAGCTCGCCGGCCTTGGAGCCCTACCGGATACCCACAGAGTTGATCGAGAGTTTGCTCATGTGGATAATCGATGATTGGACCGACAAGATGGAGGCAATGTACCACCCTGAGGAGGAGGAGAATGCGAAACTGTATTGTGCGGTGCTCATTTTCCTGCCGGGTATGGGCTCTATCGCGAAACTCATGAGGTATCTTTTAAAATCTTCGCCGTGCGCTGAGACCTTCAGACAACACTACTTGTTCATACCCTTCCATAGGGTCACTGCAGGGCAGCATGCAAGTCGGCTTTTCAAGCGGCTGGAGAGTGTTGATGGCCCTAGGATAAAGTGCGTGCTGGCGACTAATGTTGCCGAAACAAGTTTGACCATCCCAGACTTGAGATACGTTATAGACTGCTGTCGGCAGAAGGTGAAGAAGAGCAAGAACTACTTGGAAGTGTGGTGGGCTGGCAAGTTCAACTGTCTTCAGCGTAGGGGCCGCACTGGACGTACGTGTAGTGGTACTTGCTTCCACTTGATTCCTGAGAAGATGTTCCACTTTGGTCTGCCAGAGCAGCTCGAGCCGAATATAGCACGAGAGCCTCTGGAGGGCATTCTGCTGCAGTCACTCTGCCTCTCGAATGGTCGCCTAATCAGAGGTCTCGATGAGCTCCTCACTTTCTATAAGAACCTCCCACACGACCCTGAGACCCGTCGTGTGGTCCTGTCAGCGTCGATGCTGAGAGAAGCCGGGGCTCTCGATAAGGCGGGTAATATAACAAATAGAGGTCGTATATTGGCAAGGCTACCACTTGATGCCACCCAAGGTTGTGGACTACTCTGTGCAAGTGTAATGTACAATACCGGGTCCTATAGTGATGCTGTTGGCTTCTGGTTGGCCGTCACGTTGATCCTTATGTCTTCTCACTATGACATTTACTTTGGCACTGACTCGGAGGTTTTGGATGGCGATGAAGTCGCCGGCGACGCCTCGGATGATAGTATGTCCTCTGGGCCGCCGAAGAGGAAGCTCCTACCGATCGAGGCGGCCACTGAGGTCCACCTCGGCGTTGATGGTCAGGAGCCTCGTCGGGAGGCTATTCTTAGTGATCACTTCCAGAAGCTTGTATTCGAGATCGAGTGGGAGCAGAAGTGGATTCGTGAGGGCCATCGCGCTGCTAAGGCGTTTGCCAAACATCGTCATCTGAGGCACAGTGCCTTGTCGAGCTTGTGGACCGAGCGGGACTTCCTTTTCCAGTGGCTAGAGAAGAATGGTTTGACTCCAAAGAAGCACTTTGAGTGGGTGAACGGTACCAAGGAGGTCATTATACGGGAAGGATGGAACCCTATGGAACTTGTGCTGCAACAAGTGCCTGGGCTTGAGATGGTATTGGCAGCAGTAGTGGGATCTGACATATGTCAGTCAGATGAAGCAGGAGGGATGAGGACCATGGACCCACCATATGAGGTCGGTCAAATGGGGTATAGTATCAAGCTCAGACCTGCGGACACTTCTGTGATACACCTCTACCCACAGTTGAGCCCCGACCACCAAGGTTACCAGTACCTGCAGATCTTCGTTTACTCGGGTAGATCTGACAGTATGTGGTATGGCAAAGACGACAGCCGAGGTCGTATAGGCTGCCTTACTCCGATGCTTCCAGCTACGTTGGTAGTGGCATCGACGGCTAAGATGCGTTACTGTCCGGGTGCTGGCCTCTATATTAGTGATAAGGCATTGATGAGCGATTGCGAGGCGTTGGAGATCCTATGGGATGTTAGGCTCATCCTCCGAGAGGCTATGGATATGGTAGCTGAGCAGTGGTTGGATAGTCTGGGGTACCGTCCAAGAAGGAGAAGGAGGAGAGCAGCAGCAGCAGGGGCTGCTGATACTGAGCAAATTGACAGGGCTCGAAGGATGGCTCTGGCTATTGGTAATGAAAAATCTTATGCATACAACAGCAGTCTTGCTATACATAACTGGTATCAGGATGTACAGGTTTAGAATCCCTATACAACTGTACCATATGAGTAACACTTGTGGCTCAGTAGTTGCAATATAATCCGACGAATGTCGCGAGAAAGATGATGATTATTATTTTGTGATAGAGATTGTCCTTTTGCCTCTCTCTGTGTTGTTGTTGATTCGAGTGGGCTACAAGGTGGTAGCAGCAGCAGGGAGAGTCGTTCATTGCAGGCTAGGAGCTTGAGCCAGACAGATGGTATTCCCTTTTCGTCACTTTTTCACCCGCAACGGGTCCTCTCGAGATCTCCATCTCCCCACTGCCCGGCTGCCTCCAATGGAGATAGAGAGCTCGGAAGAGGCCTTACTGTCTTCCGAGTAATACATGTACTTTCACTTCGACAGTAGCTGCTTATTCAGGAGGATGCCTGCAGCCCGAGCCCATCTTATCATTCCGGATGACCTCGAGGAGCAGCAGGACCTCCTCAGCGAAGACGGAGGATGCGAGTCGTAAGTAGTTGAGTGTACGAGTATTTGTCTGCCGATGTTGATATGTACTCATCGTAGTAGTTTATCATCAAGGCACCGCGAAGCGCATAGGGCAGTGCCACTGAGTTCTGAATAGGGAGGTCTAGCTATCGATGGGGGCATTCGGAATTATATCATCTCCCCTAGCGGCTTCGTGATTCGAGCAATAGCTTTCGTCGGCTCAACGATTATACCCACCGGGGCAGTCATGGTGATCTTCTTAGATTCTTCAACCGTTCTATACCGCTCATATATCGTCCCCCAGTTTGGTCGTTCGGAGTAGTTTTGCCAGTTTTTTACTTTGGGTATGCTTCAGCAGCAAGCGTCCATATGGGTACGAACCCTAAGGGGTAAGATCTACAGTGGGGGCAGGCTTTCGAGGAGTGAGGACCGCTGCTTTCAGAATATCTCCTCACGCCTTCGATGCACTGCTGTCTCTACTACTAGGCATAAGCCTTTACTCGGCAGGGAAGGTGAAAGAGAGGCTCACGACCATCGGCACTTGGATGCTCTTCGCCATCTTGTCCATAGTAGGGTCCCACCTAAACCCTATCATCGCCTGATACGTCTGCTATTACCTCAGCTCAGCACTATATCGTGTACGCTGTACCAAGAGATAGTCGGCACTCACATGACGCTGTCAATCAAGAGCATAGCCAATTGGGGGCTACTACAGTGGATTGCCGCGAGCATACTTTTATCAGCTGCAATATGGTGCCTCTGGTCACACGTAATAGTCGAGTGGGGTTCCACTAGCAGCCGACTGCAGTTAGCTCCGCTCCAGATACTCTTTGCCTTCCGTGGTGGCTACCTCGGACAATTCGTAATAGGTGTCACAGGAGGGTTGATAGCCATTGTACGTCTCCTCCATAATCTCGACTGCACTGATAGTTGTATGTCTCTCTTTCAGACGTTCCTTACCTTCGTCGCCGAGCCGACGTCGGACGGACTTCATCTGCATCATTGGTTCACAGCTTACCTGATGGCTATGATGTAATAAGGAATACTCTGCTTCGCTCCGCTCAATTGAATCTATGTTTTGCAGTTGTCGAGAGCCCCGTAGTCGTATGAGCTTTGCCTGGCAGTCATTGTTCGTGGGCATCTGGCTGCATGGTGCCAGCGTATGGGGAGTCGATAGCATGTGGAATAAGCGTCCACCCTGGCCCCCCTGGTCTGCTTCTCCAGTCAACATTACAGGTGTGCCTCCGTCACGGGCCCCTTTCATTACGTAAGCGTCGAGAGATATCTGCTGTTTGAGCCGTGGTAGACGCAAAGTTTTTATGCTCTCATTGCACTGCTCACTGATAGAGTGCTGATTGCGTTAAGTAAAAGAACGGATCATGACAGGCCACAGCGGGTTACTGATATCGCGAGCTCTCTTTTATATTGAAGAACACAGGTGGGGAGCTGTGGCAAACTATTTTACATGAAAAATTGGGTCTGGTATAAAATGGTCGTGCGCGAGGTTATGGTCCGTGGATACGGCCCGTACCTCACGGGTTAGATGTTTGCTGCGTTCATTCCTCTGTATAGTAGTCTTCAATTGATTACTGGAGATCATTCATTTTTTTGAGCAACGAGATAAATATTAATGGACATGCCGGGAATTGAACCCGGGGCCTTCTGCATGCGAAGCAGACGTGATGCCCCTACACCACATGCCCGATATTTTCTTTTGTTGTGGGATGACAACGCCAAGCTCCATACATTGTTGTGGGGAAGAGAGAGAATTTTCGAACCTTGGAATCAAGTAGGATATGAAATGCCTGTGAATTCGAAACTCCATACGACGTGTCATGCTCATTAGCGGGGATGAAAAGTTGCCTTCCTGTCTTGCGTATGTAGGTTCGCTCGTACTTCCCTACCAGTGCCGGGCGGTTGGTTCTATATAAGTATTAGAACTCCAGTGTTGATCGCGCTACTCCAACCTGTGTTCACTTGAGCAGCAAGAGCATTAACGACGAAAGAAACGACAGCGCGCAGCCAATACCTTTTCACACGTGATCGATTATTGCTGCGTATGATAATGGATTGCCTCCATAAATCGAGTGAGGAGGAGACTTATGATCACAGTCTTGTTGAAAAGGGTGAATCAATCAAATAGAAACTCCATCATAGGAGGGGTTTAATGCTGCTTTTGAAATGGTGATGATCAAGAACAGCCTTCAACTTCTATCCACTTCTACTATCCTGTCCTCTCGATGAATCGAACCATCCTCGTTACAAACTGAGCTGATGCGGTATATAGCCTTCAGCGCTACAGCGTTCCCCAGCATGTCGAACTCAAACACTGACCATGCGCTGAGGAACACGACTCCAACGCACAGTTAAGTGAACTTATCTCAAGATATTCGTTTGCATTACAACGAGGTGTTTAGGCCTACATACAAAGAGTTCTTTACTGGGTAGGGCTTCCTTATTGGCAACTGTCTCGAGTTCGGCCAAGGCGGGGGAGGTCCGCGATGCGAACTCATGCGGACCCCGCATGAGTGCGTGAGATGAAGCTGCGCCGATGCAGAGGAAAAATTCATAGCGAATTCCCAGAAAATCGATTAGATTTGCGCAGCTCGTAGGTTTCAAGTTTCAACGTGGGTATGGTTGTCGGACGTTGCGGCATTGCGAGTGAAGCATTTAGAGTATTCTGGGGCCTGTATGTTGAGCAGGAGTATCGCAGTAGCACTACGTAGTGTAGTCGTGGTGTTTTATTGCTTGATAATTTTCTTTGACTAACGTAGCGTGCAAGTAGCTGTAGCCTTAGTAGGATAGTGGTAGGTCAATATTTCGCTCGTAGTTCCCAAGGATCTCTTGCCAAAATGCCGAACTTCACAGTAGAGGAGATGCGTGCGGCCATGGATGAGCCTCTTTACATCCGTAACATGAGTGTCATTGCTCATGTCGATCACGGCAAGTCCACTTTGACCGATTCCCTTATCTGCCGTGCTGGCATTATCTCTTCTAAGGCCGCTGGTGATGCTCGTTTCACTGATACTCGTGCTGATGAGCAGGAGCGTGGTGTGACTATCAAGTCTACTGGTGTCTCTCTGTACTACGAGTACAAGGCCGAGGACAAGGAGAAGGAACACGGTTACCTTATTAACCTTATCGATTCCCCCGGTCACGTTGATTTCTCATCTGAGGTTACTGCTGCCCTTCGTGTTACCGATGGTGCTCTGGTCGTCGTCGATTGCATTGAGGGTACCGCCGTCCAGACCGAGACTGTGCTTCGTCAGGCCTTGAGTGAGAGGGTCAAGCCAGTTCTGTTCATGAACAAGGTCGATAGGTGTATCTTGGAGTTGCAGATGGACCCTGAGGAGATGTATGTCAACTTCCGTAAATGCATTGAGGATGTCAACGTCATCATCGCCACTTACAACGATGAGCTCATGGGTGATTGCCAGGTCTATCCCGAGAAAGGTACCGTCGCCTTCGGTTCCGGTCTTCACGGCTGGGCTTTCTCCATCGAGAAGTTCGCCGAGATGTATGCTTCTAAGTTTGGTGTCCCCAAGTCTAAGATGATGAAGCGTCTCTGGGGTGATACTTTCTTCAACGCCAAGAAGCACTCTTGGACTAACGTCGCCGAGCCTGCTGGTCACACTGGCAAGCCCCTCCCTCGTGCCTTCTGCCAGTTCATCGTTGAGCCTATCACTCAGATGATCCGTGCCATCATGAACGAGGATAAGGAGAAGTACGAGAAGATGCTCAAGTCTTTGAACATCGTCCTCAAGGGTGACGACAAGCTCCTCACCGGTAAGCCTTTGATGAAGAAGGTCATGCAGACTTGGTTGCCTGCTGCCGATACTTTGTTGGCTATGATCGTCGATCACTTGCCTAGTCCTGTGTTCGCCCAGAAGTATCGTGTTGAGAACCTTTACGAGGGTCCTATGGATGACGCTGCCGCCAACGCCATCCGTGCCTGTGATCCCCATGGTCCTCTCATGATGTACATCTCCAAGATGGTTCCCACTTCTGATAAGGGTAGGTTCTACGCTTTCGGCCGTGTCTTCTCTGGTACCATTGCTACCGGTAAGAAGGTCCGTATCCAGGGACCCCATTATGTCCCCGGCTCCAAGGATGACTTGAACGTCAAGAACATCCAACGTACCGTTCTTATGATGGGTCGTTATGTCGAACAGGTGTCTGATATCCCTTGCGGTAACACCTGTGCCTTGGTCGGTGTTGATCAGTACTTGCTCAAGTCTGGTACCATCACTGATATCCCTGATGCCCATAACATCGCCGATATGAAGTACTCTGTGTCTCCCGTCGTCCGTGTGGCCGTCAAGCCCAAGGATGGTAAGGATCTCCCCAAGCTCGTTGAGGGTCTCAAGAAGCTTTCCAAGTCTGATCCCCTTGTTGTCTGCACCACTGAGGAGTCTGGTGAGCATATCATTGCTGGCTGCGGTGAGTTGCACGTTGAGATCTGCCTTAAGGATCTTAAGGACGAGTACGCTCAGTGCGACTTCACTGTATCCGATCCCGTCGTCTCATACAGAGAGACTGTCACTACTACCTCGAGTCAGACTGCTCTCGCCAAGTCCCCCAACAAGCATAACCGTTTGTTCGTGACTGCCGAGCCTTTGGGTGATGAGGTTAGTGCTGAGATCGAGAGCGGCAAGTTGGGTCCTCGTGTTGATCCCAAGGAGCGTGCTAAGGAGCTCGCTGAGAAGTACGACTGGGATGTTAACGCCGCCCGTAAGATCTGGTGTTTCGGTCCCGAGACTGAGGGTGCCAACGTCGTCGTCGATGTCACTCAGGGTGTCCAGTACCTTAATGAGATCAAGGAGCATGTTAACTCAGCCTTCCAGTGGGCTTCTAAGGAGGGTCCTCTCTGTGAGGAGAACATGCGTGGTATTCGCTTCAACATTCAGGATGTTACCTTGCATACTGATGCTATCCATCGTGGTGCCGGTCAGCTTATGCCTGCTACTCGTCGTGTCTGCTTCGCCGCTGAGTTGCTCTCCGGCCCTGCTCTCCAGGAGCCTGTCTTCCTGGCTGAGATCACCGCTCCTACTGAGGCCATGTCTGGTATCTACAACGTGCTCACCATGCGTCGTGGTTGCGTGTTCGAGGAGAACCAGAAGGAGGGTACTCCTCTGCTTCAGCTCAAGGCCTACTTGCCCGTTGCTGAGTCGTTCGGCTTCACTGGTGCTCTCCGTCAGGCTACCTCTGGTCAGGCCTTCCCTCAGTGCGTGTTCGATCATTGGGAGGCTCTTCCCGGTGACCCGATGCAGGAGGGTTCCAAGGCTCAGGAGCTCGTTCTCAACATCCGTAAGCGCAAGAACATCAAGGTTGAGATGCCCGATCTCTCCAACTACATGGATAAGCTCTAAGCATTTAGATTCATTTCAAATCTGCTGGTGGTATTGGTGTAGTTTGAATCTGCTGCGTCCGTATCTGTTGACTCCTATCCATGGTTATAGCATTGATGATCTATCTTTACCGTTCAAGCGGATGATTATGATATACTCATCCGAGGTCTTGTGTATCAACAGCTCTGCCGTTGCAACAGTGGATAATTACATTATAACGATTGGCCAAAACTTGGGACTTAGTTTATCTGGTGCTGCGAGAAAGACGGTATTGAGTTAAAGAAAGACTTTAGGGTGTTGGGGGACACATAGTACTATATGAACATAGTATAGTATATAGAAAGGGACCTATAGTGATGATATACAGACATCCGACAACCTCGTAGTGGATGATGTTGATTATATCATGAGTAGCAATTGCATCTGTGTTTCAATGCGGGGATTACTTCGAGTTAATAAGAGGGGGATTCTTACATGTGTAACTTTCCTATAAAGATCGCAACCTGCCGCGTTTTCCGTTCTTTGGCACATATGCAGACACGCAACACTAAGACTTCGTGGAATACTATTGAAGGGTCGATATATTTGACAACAGGGTGGAAATATATCACATAACTGCTAACACAAATGCTGCTATGCACAAGTCAAATGATACGGCGATTGTAACAATCGTAAGAAAGCGATTAAGCAAGAGTGACAGGATGCGATGAATTGTTGTAGTAGGGTTAGTTGTAAATTGTGATTGCTTGTAATGCTCCAACACAGAGCAGCCAAATTGGTTCAGTAGTAATAGTAATAAGATTTGTTATTCCACTGCTTGTAGCGTTGCTGACCACTGCCGCCTTTACCCTTTCCTTTCCGATTACGTCGGGATTTAGTCGAAGTCGACTCCTTCGTATCTTATAAAATCTACCATGTGAGAATGCATGACTACAAGGGCTCACCCTCAACTTCGGATTTCTTCTGTTCTTCTGGTGGCCGATCCCTATCACTGGTGAGCCTCGTCACAGGCAACCTCCGAACTGCTGTAACCTTCGATCCGCCACAAGATACATGCGTTGTTGAAACCACCTCAGCAGAGATGTGATCAACTGCATGCGAGTTGTCATCAGCCGCAGTGGACTGGACTTCTCCCGCTGATAATCCAGCTATAGGCGACCTGGCCTCGGAGGCTGACATTGGAGGGGACTGTGTGGTGCTCTCAGTGGATGAGTGTGGTCGTGCTAGTATCCGTACCTAAAGCATGAGCTTGGATATGTGCTGGTAGTAACCGCTTACTTGTCCCATTTTCGGACTGAACACAGGACTTGTTCGAGAGGCTATGATCTCCTTCGCCAATTTCGAATCGGGCAAGGTCTCCTCAATAGGGGCGTCCCATAATTCTACCAGAGTCTCCCCCGACATGTGTGGGGCTAACCCAGGTGAATCCATGGAATCCTGCCCCCGACCTCTCAGAGAAGGAGGCAGAATGCGAACATCCTCACGAGGCACAAACTTCGAGGCTGCCTGCTTCTCAGGCTTCTCTCCCTGCAATGTTGCTGGTGGTAGTGTGGACCGTGCAGACGCCATCCGGGATGCTAAGCTCTGAAGTCACGAAATTACGGTATGCGACAACTCAGCAAGTATTACCTGCGATGGCAATGGTGTTGGGCAAAGATGGGGGAAAGTACGGCCTAGATCTGCTAGGCCTACTGTGATTTCTCCTGAATGCTTTCTCGATTGTCGAGGAGCCATTCTTAGGTAAAAATAGTAGCCGCAGGGTAAATCAGATAGTCCGGTAACTCGACATGAACTCCCTAGAAAATCAGTCTCGTCATGTCTATCCCTAGGTCACAAGTTGTGACTCACAACGGATTCAAAGATGTATTACATACAAGCTTCACCGCGCCACGAGATTATCCTGCTGAAGAAGACTCAGAAGAAATACCGATGGCTGCTCTTGAAATTGAACTTCTCGAGCTGGCGCAGTATAGCGAGGCCGTGCCCCACCGTCTGCTCGATCTTCGGATGGTGTTCTGGGTATCTTGGGAATACTCTTGAACGCGAACTGGCACTCGTATAGATTCACCTCGCGAGAAGGTCTTCGTAAGCCTTAGTAACCATACCACACTGCTCTGGCATGTTTTCAACCTCTTCCGAAGCAGCAGCACCGGAGCCCATCACGCCTAGTTCCGAACCCTGGTTCTATCCCGGCACCCGGCATTTTACCTTCTGCACGACTTGACAACTCCAAAAGCTCATTGATGTGATCTCTGACGTCCTCACAGGCGTACATGCAGTTGATAGTCTCGTGAAGATTGCGAATAATAGGTCCAATTTCGTCGTCACATAAATACGGCTCGCACATGTGATCCACCTGCAGTCGGCGTGTCCGATGACCTCGACGGAATCTTACCTTCTCCAGCTCAGATTCCCAGAAAGGGGCATCTAGGACGAGATTGAGGCCGTCCTCCCAATTCGTGCCGAGTACCTTAGCTGAGATGAGCGACTGTGAATGACGATATCCGACCTGATAGTAGAGATTGGAAGCCCTCTGGAGAGCCTCAGCCCTGGTGAACTTGTCCACTGTGAGCATTGAAAAATATCGAGTGGTGGTCCTTATTGCCATCGGCCTGCCCAAGCCGGATGGGATTATGCGGCGTGAGAGGGTACGACTCAGGAGGCTGGAGGCCATCAATTGCTACAATAGCAGGACTGCAGGGCTAGGTTGAGGCACTGGACAGCGATCGGGTAGGGTTTCGCACGTATATTAGGCTGAACATAGACTCTCTGAGCATCCTCGCTGGACAGTAACCCTGGCCAAGTTGCTGACGCGCACGCCCTTGTAATCGATCTTTCTAGGAACAATTTGTAAGATGGATCATGAAGATGCATCATGGTGTCTCTTGAGATGAGTACCAATTCTAGCACGGCTTCTGTTGGCTTTACAGTGTTTAATACGGGGGTAATTGGATGCCTCTGGTGGTATTGGAAAAGTTAGTTTTTCTTCGTCCCTCGACGTCGTCTTCAATTCGTCCTCTGCCTCCTCCATTTGGTAGTAGTCATGGCCTCACCAGAGTATTACGAAGTGCAGGCTCTGTTGGACGTGCGGAAGATATCTGGGAGGAAGGAAGAGTACTGAGATGGTATTGTGATGCAGTGGAGGCATGCTTGGGTAGGTTCTTAGTCAAGTGGAAGAATTCTCGAGAGCTCACGTGGGAGCCATCGGGCAACATTGGATCCGGGCTCAATGATGTGAAAGAGGTATGGTATCAGCTTAATGATTACTATAAGCATCAGCATGCCCAGACACTTCGGCAGAAGAAGGAGCGCTTCAGAGGCCGGAAGCTGACCGAGTCGGTAGCGAGTCCGGCAGGTGTAGTACGGAAAGTGTATCGGAAACGGAGTCCAAGTCGATCGAGCTGTGAGGAGACGAATACCATGTCGGGGTTGGATCTCATTCTTCAGCATCTGGAGATGACTATACGTCGCATAGCGAGTCTAGTGATGATGACGATCTTAAAGAAGAACCACTCAATGGCGCTGCGGGGGACTATCAAACTGGAAAGCTCAATGAGGACGAGAAGATGAAGGTAATAGCAGTACCATGGCTCTCGCCTCGGTCTATGCTGTCGGATCAAGATCACGGAACATCCAGTCGTTGACCTGTCCTCAACTGTGTAGTCCTATTGATGTGTGTTGGTAGGGATATCAGGCAAGCCCTTCGGATACTACTATGGGCGGCACCAACAGAGCACCAGCAGCTCCTAGACCCATACCTGTGGCCAGGTTCCGTGGAGGCTTATTCGGTAGTAGTAGTAGTAGTAGTAGTAGTAGTAGTCATGTGCCGAGGCCATGTGTTGGTCATGCTCAGGTATGGTTGATGACTTGAAACAGAATGCAGTATTGAGAGTAGCGAATACGGCGGGCGTTCGGTATCTACCTGAGACTAAGCTCAATAAGCTGTTCATAGAGTATCTCTATGGCACGGATGTGGAGTCCTCAGTGATGAGTGATCTCCAATATGAGCAAGCTGTAGTGGACCTTATGTGGAGTATGGCTGTCAATCTGCAAGGACTGGACGAGGCCACACTGTCGGACCTAAAGGAGTGTCTATTGAGATTGGCTCGTCAGCTGAGACTACAACCAGCGACAACGTCTAAGATGCTCCAGGACTGGTTCAATAGGCATCATCATGTTCATGCTACTGGGTCCCCTTCTTATAACCTCATGAACGTGTCAACACTGCGGGCAATATGCTCCTGGATGTCGACTCTAACGGACGAAGGTGCTACTAAAATGGAGGACTTTAGTGACACTGGCAGTGTAGCTGACGTTGATGTCGATGCCTTGTTGAAGGGGTCTGATGATGGTAATAATCATAGTGGAGAAGTTATTTTTTGCATCGCTCCGCTAGACAGCAGTCAAATATTTCAGTTGAGATGGAGGAGCCCATCGAGACTGTCGAGGACCCAATAGTGGCCGAGTTCACGCAAGCACAGAACGAAATGTAAGCCTGTGGAATGAGCCTCTCTAGTGCCATGGTTACGCTCAGGTTCGGCGAGACTGAGGACACGGATGAGGGAGATATCTGTACACTCATCCATCTGGTCTATGCTGCCAAGAACCCTAGCAAGTTATCGGAGGTAACAGTGGAGGTTGGCAGTGGATTAGAATGGCTTCGTGTGGTTGATCAGATGCCAGGCTTGATAGCGAAGTACTCGGCAACACTGAAGGCGTTATATGAGAGCATATGCAAGAAGTATGGTGTGGACTGTAATAGTGGTAGAGGGGTGGGAGGTAGGGTGGTGACACATCGAGTTAGGCGCGGAGTTCGCGATACAGTCTAATATCAAGAACTATCGGACTATGGAGGACTTCGCTGCTTACTCTTTGGCTAGTGTAAGACTAGGGTTCGAGTCGGACTGGGGAGAGGGGGCTCCTGCGCATCGGCTGTTGGCTCTGAGGTTGGTGAAGGGCGTACAATGATGCAGGGTAACGGGCAGTGTTGGACTGTGTGTTCGGATTCCTCACTAATAATAAGAGTTTATATACGAATTCGGGCCGGAATATTCAGAAACCGAAGATCTCTCCGATTTCTATATTGTCGTCAAGACATGTAGTTGACCATGTGCATATTTCACAACACTGGTAACGGTGACTACTTTAAAGCAAGGTTGGATGAAGAGTCTAGGACTGTGAGCGGTTGGTTATGGACCTTCCCATCAGGCTCGGTCACTTTATGCGACGTACAACCCGGCCAAGTTGGATGAAATAGAAGACATCATGGCTAAGAACGCCAATCAGGAGATGCAGGTGGTGGCAGCCATTCGACAGAAATATGATGAAGGTCGAGGATACAAGCCTGGTACTACTAGGGGAGTATTCACACGCAATGCCCCTAGGGCTACTTCTGTTGTTACATCGGGAATCCTCCAGCACCTGTTGGACTGTGGACTTACAATGTGTCTCTAGTGGCCAGAACTACGATGGTTGTCCAGGTATGTATTATCCGCCGAGCAGCCCAGAATATGGTATAATGGAATTGATAAGGGAGGAGTTGGCTGTGTATAACCCGGACTTGCTCAGTAGGCCTTTGCGATGGCTTTATTCGTCATGATGGAATCCCTCAGGATCCATCGAGCACACGGTGTTCACGCAGTATAGGTCGAGGGAGCTGTATGTGTACTTGGCCATATGTGATAAATACGGGGTTACTATTGACGAGGATAGGCTGGTAGTGTCGGGTGCGCGGTTCGATCCTGGGTGCATTATGGTTGCATGGAATAGGCTGCCGTCGTTGAGACTTATCGAGAGAAACAGAACACGCAACGACAAGCACAAGTGTTCAATGTCGTTAAGGAGATATATAAGACGTATAATCGCGGGAAGGTCAAGGATGTAAGTTGAGGAATAGCGAGGAAGTGCAAGATTGCAAGATTCATTCATCAGATTCATCGGTTAGTGAACAAGTTCTCGAAATCAACATCTTCGGAGTTGGAGTTGATACAGGCTGTTTGCAACAAGTTCAGGGTGCCTCTGCATGTTAAAGTGGACATTATATGTAAGCGCGGACCCAGGTTCGAATCCTGGCACGCGCATTTTGTTTATCTCAGCTCGCATGTTGGACCCTGGTGCTCTGGATCTGACGTGGCACAGTAAGTTCCAGGAGGCTGTGGAGAAGAGTGACCTGTCGATGCATGTAAGCTCTCTCTGTTGGTCGGAATGAGTAGATAAGGTGGTGTTAGGTGTGGGGTTTGATACAAATGGAAATGTCCAGTAATATGGATTCACATCTAGTGTCACAGCCGCCAATGAGGCTGAGCGGCGAGGATGCGTCTATGCTTACTATGGATAGGTTGTCAGGGGAGGAACAATGGACGACGGTTGAGATGCTGGTAAGTGGTCCCAGGTTCGATCCCTGGGCTCTGCAACTTCATTCGTATAGATTCGCGGCCGAGGTGGCATGATATCGAATGAAGTGATTATGCGGGATCTACTCGATCAGAAGGGTAGGTCGTCAACTACTGCTATTCAACATGTTGGCTACTATATTGATATCATTCAGTTCATGAGCTGGGTATAAACAACTATCCATCGCAACTACGGTACCGTATCACGCAGCAGGAGCCTGAGAGTGTTCAATGGGACTCCTTCTGGGTCGCCGAGACTCCTCGTCTCAGCTGTACGCTCTCGGTGAGTTTGCTCTGGTGATGATGCAGTGAAGTTTGAGTCATATGATTTCAGATGAACTCAGTGTCCCCACCAGAGCCCTCTGCGGCTGGGTACCGACCCCAGCGACTTTGGTTAAGCATGCAGGATTTGCTGCAGTGGATACATCATATACGACAACAGTATCAAGTGGCTGCTGATGAGCTGGCTCAGAGTGTACTGCAGAAGGGAGGGCAAGAGGATGGGCCGGTAGGGGGATAGGGCAGAGGTCCCGGGTTCGATCCCTGGTTAGAGCTTGGTATAATGTTCTTTATAATAGGTTGTCCAGCCACCATTGACGGCCAAGAGAGAGCAGCCGACTCAACCACTGCTCTCTTGTAATGTTGCCTTGGTGAGCCCAAAGCTCACTGTATTCGCTGGAGACTACCGAACGCTTATCATTGACGAGTACGTGCGCAGGCTCGGTCCGCGGCTGAGGCATTCATGCTTGTTAGGTATCCTGAGTGTAGTCTCAATCGACAGCAGAATCATGTATGGTTCTTGCCTAAGGGTGGCAGGCGGAGTGACATTGTAGATAAGGTAGTAGTATCCTGCCGCTGCTACTCTGGTTAGTGGTCGGATCTTATCAGCTTCGGGCAGCATGCGCGGCTTGGCCGAGATGGTTGCGTCATGGAGGTGCTGTTATCATTGACTACGATAAGGTGCACTTCATTGGTGGACTGAGGAGGAGAGCTATGTACTATACAAGGTGACCTGTCTGTAGTGATGCAGTCGGTCATCAGGTATCGGGAGGGCATCAAACAGATATCTCGACTGTTGGGAGACGAGGCTGGATCGGGTACTAAGGCCGGGTTATCTGTAAATTGATGTAGACACTCATAGCATGTGTGCGGCGTGATTGTTGTTATCTGGGCCACTGACGTCTCTTCAGTGCGTATACCGAGATATTTGCTGTCACTGCCATTGGGGCCTCTACAGCCTCAGCTGCAGGAGCTGGTCTCGGATTATGATGATCATGAGAGCCAGGATGACTATGGGGAGAGCGACCCGGAGGTAATAGCAGTAGTAAGACTATTGGAGGGATGTAGAAAGGGGGTGTATCGGTAGGTCCCGACAGAGCTTATCAGACCATTGAGGTTATCCCGCCAGCAGATGAGGGATGCCTTTATACAGGGGGCACTCTGCCTCAACTGTGATGATATTACCCATAAACCAGCTGACTGTGGGATTAGACGCAAGGTCAGTCTTTTGTGGTATCACACTTCTCATTATCTCGATTCTTGTGTTGTTTTTCTTTTCGTGGTATCGATGTTGCTACTCAGGTGTGTTGGAACTGTCACGGAGCTCATCAAGGTCACACCTGCACTACCCGCTGCCGGTAGGGATGGTCCTGTCTGCTTGCTGGGTCGATGGGTGTTCGTTAAGGTTCTGTCAATGTAACCACAGCGCGTTTGTGCTCTTGGAATGCGTGAAGCGAGGGGGTAGAAGAGCGCAGGAGTGGGCTAAGAATCGACATTATCAAGAGCAGTTCCAGTTGAATCGAACGTAGGGTTGGGCTTGGTCGTGCGCTCGTTAATGGATCTCCTCAGGTACCTGGATGTTGAGCAAGCCATTGCTAGTGCAGAGGCGGCGGGGAAGCAGTGGAGTGATGAGATAGTGGAGATGGTCCGCATACTGTACAACGCTGGGCAGTGGCTGCCGAATAGCTGGAAGGAGCACTTTGAAAAGGCTCTTGCTGACGCCAATGCTGTGAAGTCAGAAGAGGGTGGAGGTCAGGATCAGGTGAGGGCTCATCCCGGAGGATGGGGGTCTTCGACAGGCTACTTGTATTAGGCGTCAACGGCTGACAATGAGGCTAGTGTTTCTACTGGGAGTATCAAGCCAGTAGGTGTCTGAAGCAGATCTGTGGGGTCATATTCCTGTTATAGGTACTCCCGTCAACGCCGCCTCCTATACTCCCTGACCAGAAGTACAAGTGGATTGAACGTATCTTCCTCGATGAGCTGTTGGGTGCGGGCATGCTTGGTCGCGATGCTGTTAGGGCCATCGTGGGCTCGAGAGGTGGGTCTGCCAGGGGTAGTGAGATGGGCAGTTGGGTGGGTGGTCAGGCCAGAATCATAAGGAGATGGAGTCGGCCACACAGAGCCGTATATACTTCCGAGGGATGGGTATGAAGGACGGTAGTGTTGGTGAGTAGCAGTAGTAGGAGTGCGATGATGGTATAATGGTCCTGATGGATCAGGTGGAGGCGCGGAAGAGATGCCTGATCTGAGGCACTTCGATACCGAGGCGAGGATACATGTACTGGTCAAGTGTAATGCTAGGCTCCATCATCGCTGATTGCTGAAGGCCTATTGCAGGTGATCAGCCGCCCCAGGCTAGAGCTGTCCGATCGATGCTTATTCGGATCATACGCGGCCTTGAGTCTGAGCGTCAGAGAGGCCATGGGTGAGTGCCCCTTATGGTTCTTGCGAGTCCTCCTCCTCCCCGACGCTGCTTTTTCTAGGGCCTTGCCACCGCTGTGTGATGCCTTCCATTGGCTGGAAAGCTCCTCCAAGTACCAGAGTGGCATGGGTAAGCGTGAGGATATGGATCGATACTCGGGAGGAGCTGATGATGGAGGAGCTAGAGCAGTAAGGAGTAGGAGGAGGAGTGGTATAGGTCTCAGTGGTTGCTGCATGCTCAGTTGCCTGGGGGTGGTATCCAAGGCTTGGAGATTACGCTTGGTGACAATCGTGATAAAGAGGTTAATGCTTTACAACACTGGCTGCATGCACAGGGCATAGAGGCGAAGGTAATAGTAGCAGTAGTAGATGGGGAGTGCTGCATTATCATCTGCTTGTTCATGGTGTAGACGGACTCGAATCTCACACGCATATTGATACCATCAACCCGGAAAATAGAGGCATCAGTGGCGATCAAGGAGAGGGAACAACCAGGGGAGTTTGATGATAAGATGGAGGAGAGGAAACGGATTATCAGTAGGATGCTCGCTAGATGACCTGTTCTGCATCTTATCGTCTTGAACTTTAGATTCTCCAGCAGTTCGTCATTCGGTGTACTCATCTCTGTTCCAGCTCTTCGCACTGTGGCCGGCTCAGCCACCTGCTGTCAGTGGGGTGTAGGTTCTCACCATCAGCATCACCGTTGCTTGGACATGGAATCCTCTAGGTACTGGTTTGAACCGTGGCAGCTGGAACCCATCGGGCTCATTGGGAGGATACGGGCAACAGCACCGGAGGGCCAGCCCATTGAAGGTAGTCCTGCGAGTTGCCAATAGGGCTCAGGATGGTGATGTCAGATGATCGATTTTGGATGGATGTCGGGCAGAGGTGTCGTCTGTCGATGAAGGGGGCTGAGGAGGTAGCTAGCCTCCTTGAAGCGATGGAGGAGTTGCCTGATAAGGTTGATAAGGATATGTGTGTTGAGGTTGGTCAGGATCGGCTGGCTTTATGCTCAGACATGTTTATTTCTTCGTATGCTAGATCCTTAGAACATTTGTTGGATCAGTGCAGTGCGCAGCGAGGGATCATCGTCTACTCCTGTAATGGCAACAGGCCGCTTGTTCGGAATGCTGATGATTCTGCTGCTGCTGCTGCTGCTAATTCAGATATCTACGTTACCCGTGGGCTATGGTTCATACTGTTGGAGATGACGAGCTCACAGCCCTCAACTTGTTCCCACGTAATCTGTCTGTACACCTCATCAACAAGGAGATACGCGAGACCGGGCGGCTAGGTAGGAGAGGTGCTGGTGCTTGGGTGAATGAGACGGGCTGTGCTTGGGTTTATAGGGACTAACACCGGTGACGTCACTGCATTGAAGTCTAGCGTCAAACAGCAAAGTGTCAAGAGCGGGGATCGACCCGGGGACCATCTGCTTGAACGCCTCTCACCTGACCGTGTGCCCGAAATGGAGCCTCCGTAGGGCTGATCCACCATGTCTGCTCCTCCACCAGGACTATCCGAGCAGATACATCGGCTTTGCTGTGGAATGGCTGCTACCTGATGACGTGTTGTTGCATACAGCAGCAGCTGCAGCGGCAGCAGGGCATGCTGGTGGTCCTGCTGGTGGGGAGGTCAGAGCTCAGTATGGTGATGAAGGAGAACCACCACAGAGGTAATTGTGTCTCTGTATGGTGGGGGTTCATTTCTGTTGACTCTCAGAGTCCCTATAGCGGCTCCCGTTGCTGTTCCCTCGCCTAGTCCTACAGAAGCTAGACCAACGACGATCAAGGGGGAGATGGGTCAAGACGCGGTCATAGTGGATGATGCTTCGGATCATGCAGTAAGGCTCGTTGATCTGACAATCGGCATTTGGTCCTCCCACTGGCTCCTGCCGATACTCTCTATAAGATATAATAGGAGTCGTATCGGTCTAGCATACCGTCTTGAATCACTAGGCGTTGTAGTCGGGATTCAGCTTGCATACCGTTTCTATCGAGTGGACCTTCACGATTGACGCCTTACGTTGCACATCCCTGGTGTCACTTCCTATTGGTCCTATTGCTCAGCCCCAGAATCAACGAGAAGAATACATGGCGATGTCAGTAGCACAGCTCCGGGAGAAGCTTCGTGCCCAGGGCCTGCCAGTAGGGTTGATGGAAGGGTGCTGCTAGGGCTAGGTTGCTACTTTAGGTAACCGGACGGAAGACCGATTTGGTGGATCGTCTATTGAAGAAGCCATTGGGAGCGTCGCAGAAAACCGCGCAGGGACCAGCACTGTACATGGACGTATTTCAGCAGGCTGTCGACAGTTCTGTTCTCATCAGTTACAAGTGCCGCGTGGAGCTGCCTGCTCAGCTTATGGGCTGGCATGAGTTGCGTAACAATCTGTGTGGTGATAGGAATGCTCACTTTGAGCATGTCCACTCCCAGTGCCCGGGGACTAAGCTCAGCCTAGCTGGCAATCAGAGCGCGGTGAGTCTTGGTGGCCGGCCTTGAGATCGAGCATCTATCTTTCTCTGTAGGCTCTGCAAGGCTCAGCTCGACTCCACGTTCTGGTCACTACCAATGGTCTAGAGGCTGACTACAAGCGGGCGAAGGATCTTGTAGTTGACCTAGCCAAGGCTGTTGCTGAGGTAAGTCATCAGTGTCCTCTCGCGTGATGATGGGCTTTCAGCACGGAGCCGAGGTTATGCTGGGTGACCTCTCACCGACCCAATTGGAGAGTGTGTTAGCTGAGGTAACACTCACACTAGTCTAATGGGCTCTATTATGTTGTCGTATGATCAGTTCTGTCATTTCCGCAGTGCGTAGTGATACTGTTGGTTACTTCATATCAGATTAAAATAGTGGAGTTAACAACATCAGTGCCTGCGGCGGTGCCTGCCAACACGGCGGGTGCTGGTGGTGATTCGGAAGGCAGTGGTGGAGCCAGTCAAGGTAACTGACTAGACTTATCCATCCCTCTATTGATTGCTGGTGTTGTCCTCATCCAGGTGCTGCAGGTGCGGGGACCTCTTCAGCATTCAATAGACTCTTCGGAGCTCTGCAGGCTGCTGCGGCGAAGGGCTCACAAGCACCCGGGTCGGCCGCTGCTCCCAATGCGTAAGGCTGCTAGTAGAATTTTGTTTGGGAGGCTTCTGGTTGGTTTCTAGGGGCACACCGACTGGACGACAAGCCGCTTCCTATGAGGACCTTTGAGGGTGGTTACATTGACTGCTACTGTTTCAACGTTTGTTAGCATACAATCTAATGTAGAGTTTGGTCATCAATTCAAGGGCCCTCTGGGACTGCTGAACGTTGCTCGGACACACCTTGCCGACGTGTCGCCTCGGAGCGTGGTTGCAGGAGTGTGACCGCAGTTGGCTGTAATTGAGTCAAATTATCCGCATTAACCAACTAGGCATTCGTGACGAGAAGACCTAGTACACCTGCGTCGACCTAGCTAGATCCCGGGTTCAATTCTGGGGCTCGGGATTTTCCTGACAAGATTGGTGTTCCCGGCACGAAAACCTCTTTCACCATATCCCATCAGGAGATAGGTCCAAAGTTTTGCGGCTATCAGAGGGTTCTTACTCTCATGATGGAGTGATGGTCCACTTCATGTCGTAGCTTCTGCAATGCCCTGTCTGGCTACTGGGAGCGGGCAGTGTGTAGTTTTCGAGGGCTTATCGCTATCCGTCCGAGGTTCTGTATCGAAAAGATGGTAGGCGTTGAGTCCGGACGGTCCACGCCGACAGGTTATGCCTATGCATAACTATAACGGAAAACCTGGGTACTCATCATTGGCCACAGTGAGTTTTTGCCACGGCGGTTCATGGACTCTAGTGTGATAACGTGGCCTCAGTGAATGTTCAGGCTACCTTTGAGCACGGCACTAGTGAAGCATCCTAAATAGGCCCTCTTCCTTCTCGTGTGTGTCACCTCGTTCGGGTACGGCATTGAATACTCGGTAATCGTAGCTACCAAAAAGGTCCCGTCTCTACGGCAGGGAAGTGAGAGTGAATGCAATGAGTGCAGGCTCAGGCGAGGCTACCGCAGACAGGCTTCAAACCTGTGCCTCCCTTCGGATCATGCCAGACACAACTATGAGTGTCGTAGTAGTCATTCTGAATCCGTTAGTTGGGAGGTAGTGTTTTCCTATGAGTAGATGTCTCGATCTTGGTGTGAGTATTGTGTTGTCAGTGACAGGGTATGCTGTTGCAGGGAGTGTACGTCATGATGCTGGGTTGCTCAGCTCATCATCATACTGCTCTCGCAGGAACCTCCGCTCACATGCTACACTGTGTTCATCGTTTATGTAGTGTTATATAACACAGCGAGAGCTTCCATACTTGGGGTGCCTGGTGTTGCCAGTGTCAATGGGCATACTGGTATGTTTCCCCCACAACTTCTGACGACTACTTCGGTCAATTCTTTCACTCATAGTGCTGGCAAATATTGGCTAGATTACCTCATGCTTCCTAGACTTGAGCTCCTGTATTCGTAATGCCTCGTTTACGAAAACATCGACGTCGTAGTCAGGAGGGCCAGCGGGCCAGCTCCTCTCCTAAAGGCACGGTTGCCTCCCAAAAGAGCACTGTGACCTCTTCAACTGCTGCTACTCACCGTCGTAAACCAGCCCGGGGCGTCGTGGACAGCTTTACAGCTGACGACTTGGACGGAGGGACTGTCCTACAGGCCTCGCTCCAGGTGATGTCCTTCATGGTCGACAGCGGTATTCATATGCTTCTATAGGTTGTCTTGGACCTGGGCCTGGCCGGCGAACTCCCGGCTAGAGCACGGGAACGTCGGTTACGTTTTTCGACCGGTCTGCCTCTCTTTAAGGTCTTCCTTGTACTCGAATCGAGGGCTATGCTACGGTGTGGTGTTGGTGGTCGTGGAACGTCATTCACCTTGAGGGTGGTATCACCGCAAGATCAGCACTATGGTATTCCTTTGGATACTGCCACACTCGAGAGTGCTAGCATATGGGGTGGCTCTTTGCGGGTCGTGGTGGACTGGGGAGACTCCAAGCATGGTTGGCTCGTACATGGTCGAGTGGTGAAAATCCAACGAGCAGTTAGAGAGTGGTTTGAGCGGTCTCGAGCTCATGCGGCGGCCACTAGGCTGCAGGTAAGGAATGATTCTTGGCGGTTCCTAAAGGGTGTAGTTTACTCAGACATTTTTGAGATGTCGCCTCCTGTCGGATCTGCTACGTCGCGTTAATGGAGCTAATCGGCATCTGTCCAGCATCCGGATGACTGGGCCCATGGTACGACCCATGGCCCCGACTGTCCTAGGCTGCATCGTTCATCGCAGGTAGCAGCGTTGATTCCCAAGAGAGCCCCATCCTATATCCTGCCCATGATACAGTTGTGCTTAACTGTGGTGTCGACTGTTCCCCCTGATGCCCCTGGGATGGCTACTGCCTCCATCCACTCACTCCTTGGACACTTCTCGGACTGGCTGCTTGGTGCCTTACGAGCCTATCTCTACTACGATGTCGTGGCGCGATACAGGGAAGCTGTCGCTGGAGTTGTTGCTGCTGTTATGTCCGATGGTGGCAGACCCTTCAAGGCCCTCACGGAACTACAGCGGATCAGACGAGAATTCTTCCTCCGTCCTCTGAAGGACTTGCTGGGCTCCCAGGTAGGCTCGTCGATGTTTCTGGGCTCAACTGTATGTCTAAGGTCAACTTGAGAGAGCTCAAGTCCCGAGTGGACCAACTAGTCGGCTCAACTGCTGATGAGCTCCTCTTTGATCCTTCGGTTGGGCCTGAGAGGTCCCTCGTATTGGGACCATCTGATGAGAGCGAGCATGGGAGAAAGCAGGCTCTGACGACCAGAGGGATCCAAGCCGTTCATCGGTTCGCAGGTAGCTCTATTATCCTAGGGGTATCCTTCCTTGTGCGGTGTCCATCAGGCATCATACTGTCGGAGGCTCTCTCCACTATAGAGCTGGCGTTATGGCGCCTACGTGTCTCACCCTCCCAACAGTCCTCTGCGACCTGCAATGCCGTATTAGCTAGATTTCTACCGCTGGTCAGTGGTCTGAGATGCTACTTGCTACCTTACCTGGAACAGCAGTTGCGGTCGTCGTCTTGTGGTGCATTCCTACGTTTCCTCGCACCCTTGAACGCCTCCTCCCCTCCCCTGCTCATCCCTCTGGCCCGAGACGAACTACGCATCCTCAGTGCCCAACTGCACGCCACTGCCTCGGAGTTCTTCGGCTTCACATACTGTGAGCTCGCGCTGCAAGCAGGGGCAGGGCAACCTCGGAAAATCCTACCAGTCAGCGGCCGACTCTTCGACCTACTACCTCACCGTAAGAGCCACTCTACTACTGGTGGCTCGTCATGGCTCTCTGCTGTCCAGCATCCTCTCTACTACAGCTTCACTGTCGTCCCAGTGCCCTTGGAAACTCTGCCTCCTGCTAAGCGACTGCACTACGACCTACTACTATCGGTCACGTCTCAATGCCCTTGGGGGGAGCATAGGGAACCCTTTACCATGGACGCTCGCAAATGGATGATGAACATTCCCGGCTTGGGCTCGAAAGGGGTCACTCGGATAGCCTTGCCGATGGATATCATGGACGATAACTTCACAGAGATTGATAAGGATATCGGCGATGTTCACGATGGGGCTGTTGATGAGGAGCTCTTGCCTCATCCTCATGCTGGTGGTCACCAATCTACTAAGCCTTCCCTGTTCTTCCACATGCTCCGACCAGGAAATGGAGGCGTGCTTACGGTGAGGCTCACCAAGATGCAGTTCTTTCACTACGTCCAGACCACGTGTTCAAACCGTCGGATGCCAGCGGTCAGGCGATGGGCGTTCCTTGCCCTCATGCTCTTGGGGGGCGGTGGTGGTGGTTCAGGGACGACCCTCACCATTGCTGTCCTGAGTCGACTACACGTTGTGAGGCCATTCTTTGCCCTCGAGGACAGCAGTGGAGATCGTATCATACCAGAAGGGCAGCCTCGAACGCCTGTTGTTTGCCCTTGTGTCCGAGTGGCCGGCTTATCCAAGGTAACCCTTTCTAGTCACTAGCTGTAGCCCTGCTCCTTTATCCACCGTGGAGCCAGCCCTTCCGTCTCAGGGAGTATGCCTATTTGATAGCCACAGAGCCTCTCAGCCTCACAGAGTCCTTCGGCAACCCACTCTGGAGGAGCTAGGTGATGTCTTGGCTACTCAGCCGTTGTTCCATCCTATCACAATTCAGGCTCCTTATGGTCTCAGTCTGAGGCCTCGATGGAGATAGCCCTACCCACGGAAGATGTGTCGATGAGACTCTCCGATTTGAGGAATCTAGAGAGGACTGTAGGAGAGGCCAACAGCCTTCCAACCCTCACCACGATTCCGGAACAGATTCGTTTCGATCTGCCACGCGCCGAGCCCAGCATGAGCATCGCCGTATTGTCTGCGGTGGGCAGCAAGCTATTGGACACATGGTCGAGAGTGAAGAATGCATGGGATGAGGTAAGGGATGAGGCTCCACGTCTGCTGCGTTGCAGTAGCGTATGGCTTAGGTGGACGATGATGATGAGGGCCTAGAGGTGGGCAGTGACTACGAAGGGTCTACCAATGATGAGGATGAGCGTGACGAGGAGCTACTGGCCCCTGATCCGAAGTGGGGGATAGAGCTAGCTGATGGGCCCCTCACCAACAAGAAAGAATCTGAGTGAGTACTCGAATGTCGAGATTCTGCTGCCAGGAAGCGCACCTGCTGCCCTCTGGTAGGGCTCCGGACTTCGATAGTGTTCGGATGCCAATACTAGCCTATCGCTCTGTTATCCCTTCAGATTCATGTGGGACTTCATATCACCACTAACGTCGCAGCTCCCACCAGGCTACGAGCCGGAGCCTGAGGAGGAAGTCGCAGATCACCAGCGTTTGCTGCCCAAACCGGACAGGGCCAGTGCACGAGAAGGGGTAACCTTGGTACACTGGGAGTGGCCTTCCATCCTCGTCTCAGACAAGTACATCAATGAGTGTTGGTGTCTCCTCATCTGCGGCGGCCATCGCATCAGCGACAGCGACATCTTCAGTGGTAGCTGGAGCGACTCCGATGGTGCACCATGCGGTTCGGTGTATGGGCTTACTGTATACGTCCTCGTATAGGTGTATACTTATGGTCCGATGACGCCTCCCAATAGTGTAACGTATGTCCCTATGTTCGAGTATAAGAACGGCAACATACTCATAGACCATTACCAGAAGGTAAGCAGCACTGAGACCATGTCGTTCCAACGATGCCTCGTCCTCTGTTCAGTTCACCGTCGCCCATCCTCCGTCTGTTTGGCATTGGGCGCCTCTGCCGACGCCAACCGTCCCCCAGTCGCCAATTGTCAGCCTGCCGGCGACTGCAGCGGCTAGTGCTCTCCTCCAGGTAAACGGCATGTCTATCGCTGGAGTAAGTTTTTTCTGATCTCGCAGGGTGGATTCGCCCTGGCAACGTCTCTCTATGACCTGCAGCATAAACGCTGCTCTAAGAAGGATGTGTACCGATGTGTGGTAGAGGCCGCTAGTAGAGGCTCAGCGGTCGGGGCTTGCTGTTGGACTCTCGCCAACGTTGCTGGGGTCACTAATGTGGCCATACTTTCTGGTCAGCGACCTCCTTCAGACTGTATTAAACCTCTTTTTGTAGGCACAGTTTCCCTCCTGTGGCTGGCCCTCAGGGCCCTCACTGTCCACTCTCGAGAACAGCTCTTGTCGGATGCCTGTGTTACTCTCAGTGGGACGGCAGCTGCGGTTGCGGGTGAGTGCATCCAGCTAGTGTCGGGCTCATGCTCTCCCCAGGTTTCCTCTTCTCAACGACACTTGTCCCTTCCTCTGCCCTGCTGGCTGTCGTTGCCTCTGTATTCAGCAGTGGCATCGGCAGCAGCCTAGGAGCAGAGCTCTATACGAGGATTCGGAGGTCACTCTCATTCCTGCATCGGTTTATTGATGACTTCGAGTCTTCAGATGGCGACAGGCTGGGAGTAAACAGCGCCTTGTACGTCTAGCCCGGATGATGCTGGGGCTACCGCGCGATGGCTCGGCCGACGAGAAGGTAATAGCCAAAGACAGGACACGTCCACACATGTTGGTCTCTTCTTTTTAGGTTGGTTCGCGATGGCGTTTCGTCGCCGGTATGGTCCATCCAGACAGACGCGGTGGTGACGGGATATCCAACGAGGACAAGAAGTTATTTGAGCTCTTTATGCTCTGCAGAGAGGTCGGCTGCCTTGTTAGAACTGCACTAGTCAATATTGACCAATAGCTACGAGACAGTTACAGTATCTAGTGGAGGTGCCTACTTCACTGGATACTGTAGTTGATGATCGCCCTGTCGCTCACTCTGGATAATCACAAATTGGGGGACTGTTCTCTAGACAAAAACAGTGTACACTTTCCGATTCGAGCAAGAGGGATGTTATTAGTACGGTGCTCAAGTGCACGACCAAATAATTCAGATTGTCAAGCTATCCCTTGGAGAGCGACAGGCAAGCAAGGGTAAGAAAGCTGACGCTGATCAGGCGGGCGAGGTGAGCCTTCGTTCTTTGAGTGCTTCCCATCCATCCATCAGGGGCCGCTCTATCTTGAGGATGGGACTAGATTGGATAACTCAGCAGCGGTCGAGGAGCCTTTGACGTCCATCGAGACAATGGTTGGTGCCGTGCAGGTGAGAATAAGGTTAGGCCTGTCAGTATTGTACGACTGCCTCACACATCCTTAGCGATTTGCATATATGGCGATTGTGGAGCCCCAGCTGCAGCATCAGCGGAGAATTGAGTCGGATCTGCGTAGGGCTGTACATGAGACGGTGCCCCGTGGAGTTGATGGAGAGGAAGTTCTTGATTGATTTAAGACGTATTGGATTATTAATGTTTGTGTGATCTTAAGCTGAATTTATGGAGATATGTCATATGATCTGTGTTCAACAACGCCTTCGACTTCAAGTCACTTGTTCCTCACGGCGGGGGTCCACCATGAGTTGTAATCACCTCAATCTTGCTCATATACCAGTAAAAAACTCACCGCGATGAACACTCGGAGCGAATCACGATGAACGAGTGTCAATCGACTTATGGCTCGCGTATTACGATTCTTTCTCAAGAATGCCTCGTACTCATCTTCTTGATGTTAGTCGATTAGTGGACTGGTTTCACATTCAAATTATTCAGGATCGATGTTGTGCACTCATAGCCAGTCCAGTGGCTTCGATGGACAAGCGTGTTTTATAATGGTTCGAGGTGAAGTCGAACAATTCCAGTACTAAGTCAGCTGAACAATCTAAACATTGCTGCGATCTCGGAGTGCAAGTCGGAGTTATTCACCCCCATGATAAATTGGTTGTGATTACTCTCTTCCGGTTACACTCGAGTTGGAATCTGTTTGTAGCTGTATGTGAGAGGTGGTCACGAAAAGACCCGCGAGAGCGCCTTCATTCTTCTGGCCTGAAATTTCCAGGGACTTGACCATCGCGCGAACGCAAAATGTCATGGAGAAACGTGTGGCGTTTGTCCACCCCTCGTTGCTGGAAATATCATCCCAGATCCGCAACCCGTTAATCATCCTGACCATATCCGCGGATATGAGAGAGGTCGATTGACAGGATTACAGCCAGCGGCGTGAGTGCCGTACCGGCATTTCGTGTGTAAAAACTCGAGTTAACAAAACACCATCCCCATCATAGTGTAATTTATCTTGGCATGGTAGCATACGATAATGTTGCCATGAGATGACACTTTATCGTAAATTCATTCGCTATCATCCGTTCGGCTGCTGAGACTCGTCACATGCACAAAGTGTTTCCCACCAAACCGTGCCTGAAGGGACAAGTCTGCGTGCACCGGCCAAACTGTCGCTATACATTCATCCAACGGGGCTGCACTGCAGACCGTATTCGTATCATCTATAGCAGTGGACCGCATCACAGATGTATCCTCGGTATCGCTATTATGCTCGAGTGAGCCTTCAAATCTGCGACCATGAGATCCTCCACTGCGGGACTATACATGACCCCACCGGCATAGTAAGCATGGTAAAACCTGTGGTGGTGCCCCCTTCCCCTTAGTACTCCTCTGGGAATCCGAACTCTGTTGGTATCTGAGCACGACTACAAGCAATGTGCATTCCCAAAGCTCTCACAGAGCTATCAGCTCCTTCACGCATAGGATGTCATCATCGATTCCATTAATCTCCTGCTCACAACTGGAGCCACTCCGTTGGCTGATGGACCGGGCGCTGCCGGTCCCCGATCCTGCCGATAGTCCCCATCCCTGTTCCGAATCTTTCGGGTGTGTAGTTGGAAGCCCCAGCCTGTCACACAACATAGAAGTTCCTCTACAACACCAGCGGGCCGTTCCTCATGGTCTTCCGGCATTCACCGCTGGCCAAGACTGTACAGCTCATTACCTCTCCATGAGAGGGTCTTCCTTTGGCCTGGAGATGTGCTTCACCTAAGAGAGCTATCCAACTCCTTTGATGGGCTTTATGCTCTTCGTCTGGGCTCCACTTTTCTCTTCCATTCCATCAACTCCTTGCATTTAATCAGTTGGTCATACGCCACCGTGAGCTGCCTCTTGTCGAATAAGACAACTGCTCGCTCATACGAATGCTTCACCGAATGCGGCCAGCGTTCTAGATTTGCTTGTGTTTCCTGCATAAGCATATCCCCTCACAGAGCCTCCCTTGGCTCTCCAACCTGATCCCTCTCTTTAAAAGAGGTCGAGACTGTCTCTATCGCATGCATGTTATGCAGTGCACAACCAAGAGGTAGTCCAAACTTCTCCAACAGCTCCCCGGCTAGATAACTCTCGGACAGTGCAAGCGAGGCCTTGCCAGCATCCCAGTACCTATCCTCATTACTAGTCCATGTTCGCTCAAGTCGTACCGCTCACCGTATCGCTAGGTTGAAATGACCGATGATCGTCCTGATTGGCATGACCACACGCTCAGGAACTTGCACACGCCCCTCCGCTTCGCGAAGCTTGGCGATCACCGCCTCGTCTCGAGGCCGTATGCGAAAGCACTCACGCCATTCAAATACCTAGCAACGCCACATGGGCCGCTAGAAACGAGGGAGAACTAACAGCTAGTCGCCATTCGCCGTTCCTCTCATGTGCTAGAGCAGCCCCTTTATGGGTCAGAAATCTGGTATATGCCGATGGATGAGGAGACGCCGTTACCGTTACTGCTGCATTTGTATTAGACATGAACTACAGTGCGGATCATAGATGTACATGTTTGAACCCTCCAGGGGAGACAGTAGCGCTGGGCTACCCCAAGTCTTTACGAACACAAAGCATGGGCTCCTTTGACATGAGAAACAAAGTGTAGCCTACAAAGATGATAACTGCGCCTCGTGAGGTGTACGCTGATTTATCGTTCTCACGATAGCCGATATATCCCTGCATAGAGAGGCCTTTATGAATCGGGAAAGATGGCGAGACCCACTTGAATTTGGGGTGGTCCTTCGTACGCATCATATCGAAGAGGATGCTCTCACTGGTGGTCAGAACCGCTCCTGCTCGCGAGAGACGTTCGAAGGCTGTCGACCTGTCCAGCAAACGACTGGCGGAAACGCCATCTGTAACCACGAACCTGCAGGTGATAGGGCTGAGTCAATCGAGACAGGGATGAGCCTACAGAGTGGCATCTGGACGGTCTGTGAGAATATCCAATGCAGTTTGCATGATGCAGACATGAGCCTCGATACCGCACAAAATGAACTGATCTCTTCTGAGATGCACAACATCTGCATTGAGCAGATCTGAGTGACTCACTCATGGAAATGAGTATCCAAGTACTTCTTCACCTCCTCAGTCATCATAGTAAAAGGTTTCTTGGCAAACACTGGACAGCCTTTGATATCCAAGGCGGCCACCGACCCTCCAAGCTTCTCAGGATACTGCTCTGAGAGACCAGTCGAGGACATTGACGATGAGCTTCTCACCTGTAACGACTACGGGGAAGTCGAGAACTCTGGAGGCGCTGATGAGCGTGTTAGCTGTCTGAACGATGTGTGGCTGAGCACAGCAGTAAATGAATCGATAAATGGGTGGTAACCTACCATATTCTGAATCGTCTTGGCGAAAGCATCCTGCAAATCACATACCAACAACACCGCTTTCTTAGCAGAGGATCGAGCCAGGACTTTACTCACCATACAATGAGGTAATTAGAGAGCAGCCACGGCCCAAGCAGTTCCCCGTGATTGAGCAACGCAAACCAGTATGCGGTAGAACACGATCATAGAAAGGAATGTAGGGCTGTTGAGGATTGAACACTGAACACGAAGAGCTGCTGACATTAGAGTCCTTGTAGTTGGTCTTCATGGGACGTCCTTGAATTGATTGTTCGGACTATAGCAGAAAGCTCCCTGACAGATAGCACAAGTCGATATTCATCTCGGCGTAGATGGGATCATTGCGAGATACCCACCCCTTTGGACTTACTTGAAGTTGGCATGATCCTTAGTCCGCATCATGTCGAAGATAAGGCCCTCACTAGTGGTCAACACTGCACCCACTCTAGACAGACGATGCAGGGCAGTCGATCGATCCAATAGGCGACTCGAAGATATACCGTCGGTGACCAAGAACCTAAGGCGATACAACAATGCGACGCCAATGAGGACCGACTGCCCTCACTACACAGTAGAGTCAGGGTGTCCAGACAGTATGTCCAGAGTAGTCTGCGCTATGCAGATGTGCGACTCGATGCCCATAAGAATGTACTGATCACGCCTGGAAGGGAAAACAGCCGGTGCTAGATGCACAACATAACTGTGGAGGTGACAGAGCAAGCGCGTACCCTCGGCATTCCTTCTCGAGATATTCCGTCACATCATCCGTCATCATGCTAAAGGCGTGCTTGTTGAAGACTCGACAGTGAGAAGTGTCAAGCTCGGGCAACGTGTGGCCTAGTTTCTCTGGGTATTGTTCTGAGAACCAAGTCATCGCACTATACACTTCCTTGCAGTACGCTAACGTATCAATGAAAACCTCCAAACACTACCAGTAACAACGCCTGGTATGTTCAAGATATTTGCGGCACTGAGGAGTGTATTGGCGGTCTCCACAACATGAGGCTGACCAAACGAGCGAATAACAACAGCACTCATCTACTACAACCACCCTACCATCTTTTGTATAGTCTTAGCAAATACTGGCTGCATGTCACACATCATGAACACCGACTTGGCGGCACAAGCCCTGATCATGTTGCTAGCCGCTGTTGGGAAAGACATATTTCGAAACTCAGTGGTGTAACAAAAACTGACCGAAGACCTGATGGGTCCACAGCACGATAAGACTAGTCGTGGTATTGTGAACACAACTCCGGTGAAGGTCTACATGGGGACATGAACAAAAATAGATCTCTTCCTCGAGAAGTCACTGCAGTAGTGATTGACCAGTAGTGCAGAATTAGGCGACTGTCTGTGTCGCATGCCACCAAGAACGACGACCTTCTCTCGGGAATGACCTTGCGCACAGTCCGAAAGTACACAAAAATAGCAAGAAATAACGCGAAGAATATCACGTACTTTAACCAGATAGTAGTAGTAGTAGTCGACTTATTCTACTGAATGACTAAATGAAGGCTAGACTTTCAAAAGAGAACTACTGAATGATATGAGCTGAGGAGAATTAGGATACCACTTATCGATGTTTATGGATGTCAACTGACAGGTATAAACGAGCACTACAGCTGATGATGACTACTGCCCCTATCTGATGGCACAACATCTCCACTTGACACATCATAGCCTTCCTTGGCTATGACCTCGGATGGCGAGTACGTCGCTATGCTACCCCTCCTATTCGAGGACCCACTTGTACGAGGGGTCTTGATACGAGACCGGCGAGCAGAATTAACTACAAGGAGACTACTATCCATGTGTGATACGATAGAAGTCGTCCTTACCTGTAGCACTCAACTGTGGTTGCCTCTCTGGAGTGCTGAGCTTGTCTATGGTATCACTCTCCTCCCAGACCCGGAACCAGTCCACGTCCATATGGGGTGGGCATGGTGGGATATCACGTATCTCATCTTCCCTAGTACCTATGAGAACCTCTACTAAATGATGACTGTATCCGCGGTGACCACCTATTTTGATGTTTTCCCTCTCGAAACTGTATACTAGAATGTTCTGGCAAAGTGCCCCCAAACGGAAAAGGAGTGCACTAAGGCGATACCAGGGGAATGCAATAAACCTGCAAGGCTCCACCAGTACATAAACTACGTACCATCTGCTCACGTAAGGATCCCAGCCCTAAGCTCCTTCCTTATCCGCAGCACGACGAGTTGGAAGACGATAAGCACAGAATAGAGTACAATAGCATTAAGACCAATCATCACTATCAGGCCCAGCCAGTCTCGTAGGAGTAAACCACATACCAAGAAGACTCTCATCCAGTCTAAGGCGATGGCTAGTAACTGCGATATAAAAGCGTATTGTGACTGATAGGACGTCGACAATGCTGAGAGAGAAATCCCGTGGAAAGCAGATAGTATCTGCTTTTCACGGGATTTGCGTATCAGTACACAGAGAGCGCCATACACTGCTGGACGTGAAGGTGGTCGGCGTGTAAGTCAGCAACACCAGGGCATTTGAGTTTTAACGCGGTGATGTTATCCTTGACATTGAGTAATATCGACATGACTTCACAAACGGCCACAACACGCAACGCTCGAGCAACTTTCGCGAACTGCTTCTCCTTTCGAACTCATGGTATATGAGCCGTCATATACATATAGACACTCCATCAAAATACCCAATACTTCCAGTAACATTCCAGCACCGCCTTAATATCGGCGTTTTTATCTAGCTGAGAACCTTCCGGAGCACTAGAGTATTAAGGTTTGAAGAACATATGATGCCCTAATCTTGAACTCTTCATATTTCACTAACCAAAGACTGACCAGACCACATTGCGTCGAGAAACATCGAGTTGGAAATAACCCTGCCGCTATCAGAGTTACCTCTTGAAGAAAGTACGGCTTGAGCGCCCAACTGGGACCATGACATAGCGAGGACGGGTTCACCAACTCGAACAAGTAAGTGAACGTCTTCTTATGGGAAGTCAGCTCCCATGACTTAACCCTTTGACGGAACAAGAACTAACACTAGGCTACTACCGATACGGAAGAGAATATCAAAGCTACTACCTTCCAAGAACCAGGAGCATATGTTGGTACGAGAGTCTGCGCACACGAGATGATCTTGGAGTTGTCCCTTTTCTTCAGCAACAGCAACCCCATATACCTGGCGAACTCTTACCACCACGAAAATTCCGAGGGTCTCACATATCCTCCCCGTTAAAAACGGTATCGTGCTCGAAAAGTATATCATCCAATGACTCGCGATCCCACAAAGCGATCGCCCCATGACACGATAAGCACCTATGTGTACAATGAGGACCCTAGCGACCCTGAGGACCTCCAACCTCGAAAGCATAGCTTGGAATAACTTATGTACTGCAGCCATCTTATATTCAACATCCTGACATTGTAAAAGCAAATTAGGGCTCCCATGAGGAGACACTGCGGTAATAGGGAAATGTACCTTCAGCAGATCATATACCACCGCTGACCGTATACCATATTACCGCCTTAATATCAACGTTTTTATCTAGCTGATCTCGAGGAATGTGCAAATCATCGGGCAAAGGCACATCGTCATCAATGATCAACGCGTATCTGCAGACCCTGTGATCACTGGGCGTTGCGCTGTTACTACCTGAAATTCGCCGTTCTTCCTGTTGAAGCTAAATAGGGTATCCAATAACGATTGCACCAATAAAAAGCGAAGGTCTTATTGCCTTCAGGAATATATAAATAATTTATATCGGGATGGACCTACCATAACTCGCTCTAAACCCCCCTTACATAGATGCAATACCTGTAGAGTAGCCCATTGGGTCTCATCTTGAGGCTGTAACGACGCCCCATTATCACATACAAAGATGTGACTCGGCGGGAACACAGCTAATGCTGATCTCAAGGTTTGACCAAAGGTTTCCAATTTATCCTCTGTCATGGTGGACAAGTGACATGCTATCATCAGACAACAGTCTTGTGACATGGTTTGGTTCACTACCTACAGCGACACCCTACATATACCGAACATAGCATGCACAGCAACCTACAAAGTCTAAGCTCATAGTGGCATCGCTTTTGTTCATAGGTAAGACCATGTCCGCAATAGGAGCCCCGCTCTCGATGTCCCGACCACTACTATCTCCAGATGGAGCCGTGGCCGAAGACTGCCGATCTCCCAGCTGACGACGATCGTTTGACGAGGACTCCGCCACTTTATGAATTGCGTTCTGAACAACCACAGCTATCCCAGCACAATAGGTGAAAGAATACTACCTGCAAATGGCGACTGAAAACAGGAGCGCTCGGCCACTTAACCGCGAGGCATGCAATGAGGAAGAGGAACACATCCAAGAGGACATCGACGAAGATGAGGACATCCAGCCAAGTTCTGACCTCCCAGAAAGATGCCTCGCCAACGAACACTTCCCATAACTGAGCGGCACCACAGCTAACAAGGAGGTTCCTCGCGGTGATAGTCAACCACTCACCGAGCTCTGACTTCGCATTTGCTGTGGTGAGAAAAGCAGAATGAGGTATAGTAGACCTACCAGGAAGACGAAGAAGAAGAAGTTAAGTAGAACCTAAGGAGGTTTGTACCTATCTTGTTGATATTGAGACTACTACCCTTCGAAACATGTACTTCTTGGAAATCATGCTCAGCTTGGCAGACCTCAGCTCCTTCCATTGTCTCAGTCGGCGACGCCAAGCATTCGACTCGAATCGCTTACGAGGATCACGACTATACATCAGTGAATGCCTGAATGCAATGAAGTCTACCCCAGAGAGCTACACAAGGAGGTAATATCCTACTTTTCCTTCCTGGAATTGTTGCTGACTATACTCCGCTCTGTCAACCATCCCGAGGGCAAGGGAGTCGGCAGGACCGGGCTCCTCTCTAGCGGACCACTCAATGAGCTTTGGCTCTCCATGGGGATCTCGTTATTGTTATTGAGCCCTCTCGGAGTCTCGTGGAGGTTGTTTGTGCTCTCCGAGTACACAAGTCCTACTCCTCCTCCTCCTCCTCCTGCCACACTAGCACGAGCACTGTACTGCAGAGATGACCTATACCTAAGCAACATACAATCCACACACAGCAGATGCTACGGCCCTACAGCTCTGGAGAGGACCGGTTCACTGCACTACGATCCGTCAAACAACCTGGGGCTCTGAGACGTGGTGTAGTGAGCATCCCTCCAGTCGGTGGTAAAGGAGGCAGAGGTGCGACCACATAACGTAGGTCCGAGCTGATCACCATCTCCACTCAATACCATCGGAGCATGACTTACGATGGGTACATCCCAGGACTATCCTGAGCTACAGTCCATGGAGTGATCGTGGGGGCCTCTGACATGGCCAGCATTGCATCGTTCCTCCACCGCAACTCCACGTGGAGACGAACTTGTCTAGTCAAAACCAGCGGTGCCAGAGCATGCTCCCACTCGAGGGCTCACTCCTTCTTCGCTGGCAGTTCTTTGGCCATCCTCTGCATCCCCAGCATTTTTTCCTTCCTATTTTCCATATCCACGTTCCTCAGTAGGAGTTCAGCGAGAAGCCAGAAAAGTGTAATAAACACTGTTGCGAGGACCATGCCCCTCATGGTGATGACATTGGATGGCGTCAAGGTATAACCCTCGTTACCTGAGAAGTGACATGAGAAATCCAGCACGGTATTCTAGTATGAACTACAATAGGCTCCATCGAGCACGTCAATGCAAGGCATCTCCACGTTGACCGTTTTACCACCATTACCACCAACACGAACAACACACATTTGTGGGTCAGCACCAAATTTCCTGTCCATCTCGAGCCTGTCCGGATCGGGGCATCTGAACAGCGTCACGAGATACTATACCCGCGATCCTAATAACATCCGTATCTCCCCGCCGAGAGCAAATGCGAGACACGCTGATGTTTACTGTGAGACCTAACCATAGACTGAGCTGCTCATACTACGTTGATACTCACGAATAATAAAGGAGCTCACCTATAAAGTACTATATATTTCATTTCGTGATATTCTAACTACTACGAGAGAATCTCATTACAATAACATATGACAGAATTGAAAAGCTATATCCAGGCTTCCACAAAGACGCCCTTACCGAGTCCATTGACCATTCTGATAGGTCTGGCAGACGTCACTGCACGAATGTTGCATATAGCAAAGTATATCAGTATCCACTTTCCCGAAGGAGGGTAAGACACACCTGAAGAGAGAATATGGGATTGGGAATAACCACAATAACTATGTGATGATTCCGAAGTTTACTTATTCCTGCGCTCTCTCAGTGATGAGATTTCCGGTACAGCAAGACTCGCATTAACAAGAGTCTCAAGGGTTAACGGAGAAGCCCTTAAGGATACCTAATAGGGAGGACCTTAAAGACTAGTAGCTGCACTATCACCTACCTGGCACCTAGGTCCATCAGGGCCGACCCCTCTATGTTGAGAAGCATCCTGTATAGGAGGGCACTTAGCCAACGGCCACTCGCCACTCTTAGGATCATATACCCATTGATACCCCCAAGTCCACCATGTACAGGCAATCGCTACCGCCAATATGAGGGCCACGAAGAGAGAGACTGTACGTTCAAGAAGGGGGAGAATCGGCGGCTTGGGTATTTTCACAAGAGATACCGAGTCCACTTCAGTCGCCGACATACTAGTACTACTAGAGTCGGAAGAAAGACAAACTGATTACACATGAAGTAATAGACATCTTCAACACGAACAAGTAGCTGTAGGGGAAAATCCGTTAACGATAATGTCGATACCATCGAACGACTCAAAAATACGCCGAGTTGAAAGCCATCACGAGCCAGCCGCCGGCCATAAGGAACCCTCCGATGGGCGTTATAGCTCCCAACTTCTTAATGTGAGTGAGCGCTAGAGCTGAGGAGAGAGAGAACAGTAGAAGGACACTATGCAACATGAGGACAACTTACTATACAAGCTGCCGGAGAATATGAGGATACCGAGAAGAAAGCAGATTGCAGCCCAATTGCGACCTGATCCCTTATGAGCCATAGAGGCAAGTACCATACCAAAGGAGTGGTACATCTGATACCGCACGGCCTTCTCCCATACCTAACACAAATCCGCACTAGGTTGCGACTAGGCGTGAAGAGTATCTTTCTGCACGCATGCGCAAGACCTAGACCCACCTCGAGCTCATAAGGTCCGATATCGGACCTTGACTTCAACCCATGAGCGCCGAATGCTCCAGTGAATACACCAATGCAGGCTCCTAGACAGCCCAAACGGAACCATAGTACTTGAGAAGGATTCACCATAGGCGCAGAAGACAATGAAGACGGATTGAATGGATGATCCATAATACTAACAACAAGGGACAGTGAGCTTGTGTGCTCGTACAGCTGCTCGGTCTTAGGTTCATCTCCCCAATGAATTGAACTAACAACTGATAAACTCAAGAATAGCATCCCACAGAAACCACTCAGAATGCCATGGCAAACCATCCAGCGGCCATTAGAAGCCCTCCTACAGGGGCGACAACCCCTAAGCGCTTGACACCAGTGAGCACTAAGGCTGAACAAAGAGAGAACATGACTTGCCCAGCACGATGATGGATGGAGGCCTTACCGTAAAGACTAGCTGAGAAGAAGAGGGTGCCCAGTGAGAGGAGTAGAGCAGGATAGTTCATTCCCGGCCTTCTATTGATGTTAGCAGCAATGATGATACCAATACTACTCAGTATTTGGTACCTAGCTGCCGTTTGCCATACCTATTGCGACGAGTGAAAACTGATAGCTTCCTTGTTTTTGTACAGTACCTCGATATCGCGTGGTGTGATGTTAGGCTTAGAGCGAAGGCCATGAGCACCAAAGGCGTCGATGAGGACACCTGTACACGCACCAATGCAACCCAGACGGTGCCAGAACATAGCAATGCAGGCAAAGGCTAAACCACAGGGCGAGCTTAACAACGAGACAGGGGTCCAAGCAGCACGAAACTGGTGCATCATCCATGGCGATGAAAAAGAGACGGATTTCATTTACGAGATGTACGAGTCAAGAGGACGAGTGGACGATGGTGACTAGGAAGACACTAAGCTGACGATACTGCAGTTTGCTGCTGCTAGTGGTGGTGGTGACGGTGATGGTGATGATAATTTCTACGATTATGACAAACGATTTCGATACAAAGACGAAACGACAAAAATAGAGAGTAGATAACAAAAATAGATTCGACTTATTCATCATTTGATATACAATACGAGAACATGCACTCATGCACAGAATTGTAGACGACATTTGCCACTACTGTTGTTGTGATGACAATTACTCTAGTCGGTACTTAGTCATGGGGTAGTGGACACAGAGAGACAACTTGGGGATTACTGGGGGTAACCAGCATTCTAGTCTCTCACGACGTAGTGACCATGATACTGTTGTTGTTGATAATGATGATAGTGGTGATTATTGTATGGGCCAGTGAGCACTCCTGAGCGTAGTAGTGATGCAGGAGATGATGCCACTGTGCTCGGAGAGGCTGCTGCGCCTCGACGAGATCCTAAATATCGAAAGGTGTGTGATAGAAGGATGACGGACATGCTCACTAGGCAAGGCATGAGATGCCGTAATAGGCTTCTCAACGGGCTCACTCTGAACCCACACTGTGAACCAATCGACATCAGGATGAGGGGGGCATGGGGGGATGTCCCTTATCTCATCCTCTCGAACACCTGACAACAACCGGAAACTTAGCCATGAAAGCGATGACCAAGGAACTTGAAACCGCTGACTTCACAAACCATAATCCTTAGGATAGGACAAACAAAGTCTTGCTAGTGCGGAGGGAAGATCTTGTGCATGTCAGGTTCCCTCAGCCGAGCTCAGAAGTTTCCTCACTGTACGACTATCAATGGAAATTTCGCTAAATTTCCTCAGAATACCCCCTCACTGTCATCAGCAAGCCCAGGAAACTTATATCAGCGTAGAAGGCCTACCAATTTTAATGTTGGTGCGTTCATGACTATAGACGAGTAAATTCTGGCAGAGTGCTCCAAGTCGGAAGAGTAATCCACTTAGACGATACCAAGGGAAGGTTATGCACCTACAACCTCCACAATGCGGTGTGCCCCGATGGCTGTCTGATGAGGGATGGTGCTTACGTGCACAGTGTACTACGTAGCTCCTTCCTCTCACGCAGCACGACGATTTGGAATACAGCGACAACGAAATAGAGAAGGGCCGTGAAGACCATGGTCATCATCAACAGACCGACCCAGTCTCTTAGTAGTAGGCCACAAAGGAGGAACACTCGGAGCCAATCGAGAACGATTGCCAGTAACTGATAAACGTCATCATAGTAGCGATGATAATGATGACAGACCTCCTGCATGAAGTACGGCTTCAACGCTAGACTAGCGACATGGCAGAATGATGCAGGATGGAATACTTCAAACAAATATGAGAATGTCTTCTTGTGAGACGTTAATTCCCATGACTTCACACGTTGACGGAACAATACCTAAGCCACCAATACCACAAAAGTATCAATGATAGTAGTAGTAGGCAGTACCGTCCAGGAATCAGGTGCATAAGTAGGAACGACGGCTTGAGCACAGGATATGATCTTAGAGTTGTCCCTTTTACGGAGCAGTGATAGCCCCATGTACCTGTACAACGGTTTAGGTATCCATGAAGACCATCTTTAGTTACATATCCTCGCCATTGAAGACCGTATCATGCTCATAGAAAACCTCATCTAGAGCTTCTCGGTCCCAAAGGGCGATGGCACCATGACATGACAAACACCTGGCAAACTCTCGAGCCACATCATAGACCTGCTGCTGCTACTACCTAGACATGGTAGCCTGTAGTAACTTGTGGACTGCAGCCATCTTATACTCCACATCTTGACACCTAACCAGAAGGTTCGGCCGCCCATCTGGCGATGCAGCTGTGATCGGGAAGTGCACCTGACCAAGGCTCCTCACAGACGTATGAAAGAACCCAATGCCCCACAGCTTTTATGCTATGGTCCTTTTCAAGATGCTCCTGGGGGATATGAAGATCTGGAGGCAGGGGGACATCATCATCAATGATGACTGCAAACCTGATGGGGCAACCCTCTTCCACTGCCCTATCGCTAAGCCTACCTAAAGTCCTTAACTCTAGAATACCGCGAGAGGAACGGTATCCAATACTTGTTGCACCAGTAGAAGGCGAAGGTCTTATTACCTTCAGGAATGTATAAGTAATTGATATCAGGATGGACCTAACATCCAACCTAGCGCGGCGGTCTCTACCAACTGCTCACCTGCTGAACAGCCCACTGTGTATGGTCCTGTGGGCAGAGGCTTGGTCCGTTGTCACAGACAAAGATGTGACCAGGAGGAAACACCATCATAGCTGATCGTAGTGTGGTAGTAAAGGTATCGAAACGCTCCGCTGTCATCGTGGACATATGGCAGGCGACCATCAGGCAGCAATCTCTGGTCATTGACTGGTTCATAACCTGAAAAGGGAGGAGTAGCAGCTCCCCATGGTCAACATCATCGTGGCCGTGCTCGGACGTACAAAGTCAGCGGTGACCGTATCCTCGCTGCTGTCGCGACTGATGTTGAGGTCCACCGCCTCGTCACCAACGTTATGAATACCCATTGGGGAGGCGTGGTCTTCCTCGTACCCACGACCCTCCTCCAACCCTTCGTTAGCTACTTCATCGACTGCTATCTTCATAGCAACCTGACAGAATACTCATCTTCACAATCGATGAAAATGAGCCCACCTGAAGGTGTCGACTGAACACCGGCGCTCTTGGCCACTTCACCACACAGCAGGCTATAAGGAAGAGGAAGGTGTCCAATATGACGTCAATAAAAATAAGGAGGTCCAACCATGACGACATACGCCAAATAGATATGTTCCCAAAGAGAGCATCCAATGCCTGAAGTCGACACTAGATGCTTCTACCGAGGGGACCACACTGATAGACGTACCGTTCGTTTGCTCTTCATCTGTTGTGGTGAGAAATATATTATCAGGTAGAGCGTAATAATTATAAGTAATAGGAAGAATATGTTCAGAAGGATGGTCCGGAAGCGTTGCTTGGTGAGGAAGGTGGTCAGCTTCTGTTCCCTCAGTTCCTTCCACTGCCTCAGTCTCCTCCTCCAAGCGTTACTCTCATACCGCTTCCTAGGGTCTCTTGATCGTAGCTGTGATCTCCTATACGGACCATGCTCAGATCAGCGCCGTATTGCATGCACCTACACTTTGCTGTCCATTAGCCCAGCACTCCCACCAACGCTGTCATATGGTCCTGAGCCTAGAGGTGTCGATGAGTGATGACCAGATGATGATGTGTGAGGGACCGGCGAGAAGGCTGAAGGCAGCACTATTCACCATCGCATGTGCCGGTCTACCCGCAAAGCTCCTCGGTGTCGCTCTAGGAGTGATAGCAGTAGTGGCAGTAGGAGCAGCAGACCCCATCTGGTGACTGTAGACGGAACTTAGATCGTATCTACCATTGCGAATGCAGCCGAATTGAGGAACACAGATGGCGTTACGCTGTGCCAGATATAGAGGAGGTATCACTATCGGCCTTGTACGCTAGCTGTGCCTCCTCATCCCATCTCAGCTCTATCTGAGCTCTCAGGTACCTGCCACATATGCTGGCTATAATGACCGTTTGGAAACCTTCCGTCTCACGCTCGCTTCTCAGGGAGCTCAACAGCCATCTTGGCCAGACCCTCCGCCTTCTCCTTGCGGAGGTTGATGTCGACATGACGGAGTATGAGCTCAGCCACGAACCAGAAGATGACAATAAGGACCACACCAGCGATGAGGCCTCTCATCGCCACTATGTTGGAAGGGGATACACTGTAGTCATTGTTGCCTAGGGAGAAACGTCGTGCGAAACTAGAGGGGGAGGAAGGCCGTACAGTAAGAGCCATCGAGGATATCAGCACAGTTCATGGTAACCACCACAGGTGAGTGGTCTGTCCTACGACCAACAAGGATATCACACTGGAGTGGTACAGCACCGTAGGCCTCATCATCATCGAGGCTCGAGGGGTCAGGGCATCTGATAGCGGACAATGATGTAAGATCGAGACGTATTTGAGCACACCTCCGTGATGAGCCCGATACATGGCATGTGTTGCCGCAGTAATCTAGTGAGTAACAAACAATGTCGGTCTCGTGATGGGCTCTAGACGGTATCACGCACTTGCCACGACTGAACGCTAAGCATACTGGCTCGACAGTAGAGGGGGCTCACCGTTCATTCAAGTTGGAGTTCTCAGACACCGCGAAACCGTTCTCTGCTATGATGGCCACAGCAGCGGTTCTGTAAGGAAGGGAGACCTACAGAGTTGTGATCAGATCAAGGGAAATGGCTTGTGTACAGACCTGGCAACGAGGGCCGTCTGGGACCTCTAGGCTCGCGGCAAAGGTGTGAGCTAACTGTGGACATTCGTATATTGGGTATATGCCAATGCTTTCCTCGACTACCCATGAGTATCTAATGTGGTACAGGAGGGTATGGTGGCTAGTGCTAGAGGCTCACCCCCATGACCACCAAGTACAGGCTGTTCCTAGACTGATGGTGAGGGCTATGAAAAGGACTATGATACGTGTTATTATTGGGCAAAGGGATGGCTTTTGGACTCGGGGCACCTTCAACGGAGCACGGCCTGTCTCCTCAGTTGCTCCTACCATACAACGGTTGGATACTATTAGAGTAAGGACTACTGCAGCCAATATATACTTCTGACCAGCACTCAACCCAACACTCCTGGTACCGTTGTGGCCTAAGGCTGAATGAAGTCTGTCCCGGCCTTCGATGATGTTTTCGTGAACATGCGCTCAAAAACATTTCGCTCCACTCAATATAAGCGCATGATGAAAAGCGCGCGCCCAACAATATGATCGAAATCGTCTCTACACTTCCCATCGCAATAAGACGACCTTCCAAGTGATTTTAACAGTGTGACTTGGAGATGCATCCAATTTCAGCTTTGATGCCGAGGACTACTCCAAAGTCAGGCTACTGGGGTAGGAGGCGATCAGTAAAAGCGGACTGCCAACAATGATCCACACTTCGAACACCGTCATCACAGCCATTACCCTCTTTAATTCATTTTCCCACTGGCCCATTGGCCTCGGTATCCCCTCGATCTGCAATGGTCAACTTGATCGTATTTGCTATCCTCCTCGTAGGACTTGCTGATCTCCCTTTGCACTGCACTATTGAAGATGTTCAAGGTTAGCAATGAGCCTAACCACTCACGTATTGCTAGTGTTTTCTAGGCTGGTGGCAGTTGTATCTACTGAAAGGCCCTGTACCAAGCTGGAATGGTAAGGAAGAGCAGGACAGCTTCTGTGGGTATACTCCCATCAATAGCAACGAGGCCAACATAGCCCGTGGCAATCAGGTACTCACTCCATCATTCACTGTTGGCATGCTCCTGCTATGGTAGATACAACAGCTCATGGATGCATCAGCGCTGAGTGGTCTCGATGGACTAACGTCACACACTACTGAGAGGATACTGAGTACCCTTAGTGCCGATCTCTCGCACATAAAGCAATCACCAAGCCTTAGATATGACTCTGTCATCGAGCCCTGTCGTCGACTTGAATCTCTCAATGGACCAGGATGTCAGTGGTGATGGTGTGCTTCGGGACCATCATCTGAAGGTAGGCCTTCCCCAAACTGTCTGGAAGAGGACTCGTATCAGGTATTGGATATTAGCGGTGCATACAGAGGCAGCTGGTCTGTCGGCTACGATGAGGGTCTCGTGCTGAAGAACCTAGTCCTGAGTAAGCTCGACGTGCCTAGGCCCAGCTCACCTTCCGATTTTAGACAACAGCGCGGTGCCGCGGCACTTGGTGGCCTTCTTCCGCTATCGCTGCCTCTCTGGGAGTAGCCATTGTGGGGACTATGCAGACTTTGAAGATGAGTAAGGAGGCTGGGCTATTGTGGGCGATGATTGCGGTTTGCAGGTTCGGCACCACTCAGGGCTATGAGTCGCTATGTGGTCAGACTCTGATAGGATGGTGGAGCTCGCGTAGCGGAGCGAAGCAAGGATGCTTTTGGATGAGAAAGAAGAGTGATGAGGAAGCGAATAAAGTGAGCTACTCTCTGAGGGTATCAAGTTGCCTTAAAGCGCCCGATAGGTCCATAGTGTGGCAGTCCTACCAGGGTCTATGACACCGTCTGCATTCATAACCCTGAGGGGGAGAAGGCGGAAGGCTAGCATTACCCGGTGAGGCCTTACGAGCTTACAGGCGCGTGTCAGCTACTCTCTGAACAACGGTTGTGTCGGTCTGACCTTGGACGCATTTCTCTTCAGGGCTCGTGCAATTGCTCTGATGACGAGGAGTGGTAGTAGTGGTCTATTAGATGACGTAAGCTGGGGCGGCCAACTCCTCCCCATTGGGCGCTCTCAGATCAATGTAGATGAGGACACCGAGGGGTATGCTAGGTTCAAGGGCAGGTAAGCAGGGAGTAATAGTGAACAGTGCCTTAGTGTGGTTCCGATCAGGTATCATGTCTTAGCTGATGGCGCGTATACAGAGGACAGCTACGCCGAGGAGGTCAGAGAGCTCGTCTTTGCAGTGGCCAAGCTAGGCTACTCAGGCACCCACCAAATACCCTCCACAGCCTATAGACGAGGCCTGTATGAGTACTAATAGCATTGAGGATGCCGACCTCGTGGCGTCCCTGCCAAAAGCGTATGATTTCCGTGATGAAGTTCCGCATTTTGGAAGTACTATGACGACTCTTGACCTCTTGACTAGGGCTTGCTCTCAGATCTAGAGTCTCAGCAGATGCTATGTGGCAGCTGCTATGCGATAGGTGCGGTGTCGGCCCTTCAAACTGCCATTGCTCGGCAGTTCCAACTTCTTGGGATGGACCTGCCCGACGACTGGGGTCTGTCCGTCCAGGGGGTGAGCGGGAAGAGTCACCATCTCGTGGTGCCACTCAGTAGCTCTGCTTAGGCTTTATCGTGCGGTTATGCTTCTCAAGGATGCAACGGTGGATTTCCTGGTGAGAGTGTTGGAGAGAGGTATGTGAGACAGTAGCATTATGGCAGGTATCATGGCATTCGACCTGACTGTCCAGGGTGTACCTCGAGCTTCCTGCATGCCGTAAGATGGGGCCTCACTGTGTGTGTGTTGATCGAACTCGTGTCTTACTCGATATTGTCGTGACGCATAGCATTGATCCCTCCCCGGCCTGATTGGCGGTGAGTAGCCAATGTTGTGGCAGGTATCAGGGGACTCCCGAAGCTTGTGACCGATCATGCTATAGAGATTCCACCAAATTGTGGTATGCCAAGGATTTCGCATACGTTGGTAGGTTCAGCTCAGCAGCTCCTGACTTGAGAGTGGCTCTTCCTTAGGGGGCTTCTACGGTCGTTGTAGTGAGGCCCAGATGAGGCAGCATATAATGCAGTAGGATGGGGCCTGGTAGCGGTGGCTTCAGGGTTGTACTGTAGGCAAGGACCGGTCTCGGTGGCTGTGAATGCACAGAGCGACCTGCTCCCCAGACCACCTCACAATATCACAGGCTTGGATGCTGGGGTACCCTATGGGACGGAGCACACAGTGATTGGGGAAAATTCCGTGAGCAAGTTGGTTGGATTTCTGCACGCATTGGTTTTTGTGGGAAGGTAAGGGTGAAGGCCACACGCCTATTGCCCTCTCCTGGGAAGGATGTGTTGGGTGCTCATCTCCTTGTGGACACCAGCGGCTTCCGTACGATTAGTAATACAGTCAGCAACACGTCGTTGATACAGAAAGTTGAAGCAATAGGTAAGCACTACGCAACAGGTTATCGTTATGGTATTGCCTACAGCGCCCTCTAGTCGAGATCTCATTATAAGGGCGGCCTTAGCGAAAGGGGTCACTTCATGGCCTCAAGTGGCACATGAGATCACTCGCGTGCTCAAGTCAACCGGCCTGGGGGAGTACCAACTTCACGAACCCCAATACCTCGGTAATATGAGTAGCATAACTAGTCCATAGTGTGAGCTTGTTTGTGCCCCGTGGGGTCGCTGATAGACTTCTAGGAAGGGTTGTGCGGAGCTGATCTACGGAGTTGTTGTGATTTGGCCAAGGTGGGGGTGTTAGGTATCGACCAGTGGGAGTACACCAACCATGCACTGCTGGTCGTGGGGTGGGGATCTGAGATGGATCACAAGGCTGGCAAGGAGGTGGACTACTGGATAGCGCGCAACTCCTGGGGCGCCGACTGGGGTACCTTAGTGTTCTAACGGACAGGTCTTCATCAGCCTCACCCCTTCCAGGTCCCAACAAGGATGGGTATGTGAAGATACTCAGGGGAGTTAACTTTGGTGGTATAGAGAGACAGGCGGTTGCTATAACACCAGACCCTTGTAGAGGAGCTTTCAGAGGTAAGCCCCGAGTTACTGTCATGTGGGATGTGCGCTATCTCACTCGTGCTAGAGCATATGGACCGTCACCTCCTCGAGACGAGAAGGTCGATATCATCGTTACCTCAGCCCATGCAAGCATGTTATACAGCAGTATAGTGCTCATCTTATCAAGGGTCTTTGTGTTCCTAATAGAGTACGGTGGCGCCGGGGTGAGACCTGATCAATAGAGGGCATGAAGGGTCTCTTAGAGGGAGCGTCAGTGGAAGTTACTCTGCCTTGATAATGCGATGGTTGGCTTCTGCCATTGCAACAGCAGTTGTAGTGAAACGAGTAGTGGCTGATTTGCCGAGCCATTGTACTCGCGAGGACTCGCGAGGTGGTCTGTCGAGTGGTAGTGGTAGTAGGATTAATGGTCCTCGCTGTGTTAGGCAAGTGGCGACTGTATTTCTTGAAGGGCCCAGTGCCTGACTGGAGGGCTGATACTGGCGGCAACTTTTGCGGATATACAGCTATTAATTCTAACAAAGGCAATCTGGCTGTGGGCCAGAAGGTACTGGTGACTCGTTCGGTTGTGCAGAGTAGTTGATCTCAGATCGATGAACTTATGCGGCGGGAAAGACCGACTAGTGAGGACTTTAATGAGATCCTTGGTAGGGGTAGTTGAAATACTTGTGTGACTATGTGTATAGGCATGTCCGTCGATGGGGAGCCAATAGAGATTGAACTGTCCCTATCACAGAAGATGGAAGACGTTTATGGGGAGAAGGATGCTCACCACTTGATGGTGGGCTTGTGGGTAGGGGCGCCCTCTAGCAGTCGGGTCTCAGGTGATGGATGCGGATGATAGCACACTGGAGTTGGGGCATTGGACCATGGGCTACGACGAGTTTATAGTACTTGATAACTTCAACCATCCTAGATCTAACGACAGTAAGCGGCTTGTCTAGTAACTAGACAGAACACACTCGCCTCTGACTAGACTCTAGTTCTGTGTCCCTGTCTAGTCCCGAGGAAGATAGATTTGTTCGTTCACTACCGGTGTACAGGGGAGAGGGAATGCGGTGGAGTTGAAGACGCTGAGTCGCCGTAAGCGGCTGATCGTGCGGATGATAATTGCCTGCCTTGATTGAGATGTCAGGGATGGTACAACAGAGGGATATGTTTCCTACTGCGGCCGAACGCTTGTTGGCTTCTGGTCCGCGATTGACGGGTCTAAGCAGGGCTGTGCTTGGGCGAGGAAAGTCGACGCAGAGGAGGCCAATAAGGTTAGGAGGGTTAGAGAATTGGGGATTCATATTGCTGCTGATGGTGTCTTAGGTACACAGCTTGGCAGTGTCTCATAGGGAGGGCGGCTCTGGGCATGCGACTAAGATATTAGCACCGGAGTTCGCTGTAATGGAGCCTATGAGGGACGTGGGGGAGGTCCAGCCTCATGTGAAGGGGGTAGGAGCAGCTGCGAGTCTTGTTGAGGGGATGTGTTTCCGGTCAGGTCGAGAGCCAACGACAACTGGGCTATACAGGAATGAAGGGGAAACGGTGAGGCCGGCAAGCTGCAGTGATCCTGAGCTTCTGTATCGTAG